AAAAATGTATCTGAGGTTTTTACAGTGTTTCAAGGAGTCTAAAATTCATAAGTATAACCCCTTCTAGTAGGTTGCTGTTAAAGATGAAATACAACTGACTTCATTTTTATTTTCTCCAAATCATGGTTTAAAAAGGTGGAATTCTAAGTGCATTTAGAAAAGCGAGTAAAATTAAGTATATATTTAATCTGTGTAGAACAGTAAGAACGAGAGAAAACACCTTCATTTCCTAGATTGCTTCCCCCCAGGGACTTTACACGTAACATGTAAAATATTTAATTTAGCAACAAACCAGCTTTATTTAAAGCAAAAACCCATTTCTCCCTTTGAGGGCATATTCTTAAAATAAACATTTGCTGGATGGTCTAGCCCCCTTGTGTTGAACAGAATTAGAATTTAGTGTGTTAGGTTTAACTACCTTTAACAGGGTTAAGTAGATTATTAATCTGTTACGAATCCTTGTTCTACTAAAGCTAAGAATCTAGCTTTTTAAAAAAGCTTTCAAATACTATGTAAAAAAAAATACTATTTTTAAGAGCTCATCACACACTGAAGTATAGGGGTGGAATTAAATGTCTAGAATTTGCTTTACAACATCTCAGATTTTTAAAAAATCAAGGATGCTGAAAACAACTGCAGCAAAATCTATTGAATGGGTATACAGGAATTCATTGCACTACTCTATTTTGAAGTTTTTTAAGATTTTTATTTACTTTTCAAGAGAGGGAAAGGGAGGTAGAGAGGGAGAGAAACAGCAATGTGCAAGAGATACATCAACTGGTTACCTCTCACACACTCCCAACCAGGGACCTGGCCCACAACCCAGGCATGAGCCCTGACTGGGAATCAGACTGGCGACCCGTTGGCTTGCAGGCTGGCACTCAATCCACTGAGCCAAACTAACCAGGGCATTTTTGAAAAGCTTTAAAATTTTTAAAGCTCATCATTAAACATAAGCTAAAGTTAAAAAAAAAAATCAATGTAAAAGTCTCTCATGTGCCAAAGCAATATCCATAAAAGATGCCGACGTCATCCCCTGCATCCATCCTGATTCATCATTCCCAGGACTGAGTCTCAGTCACCTGAGGGTCATTGGTGACTTGAGTGGAACTGGATGGGCCTATCCTAATAACTAGAAGCAATCTTTTTAATCAGCAAAGCTCTCCACTGAATCCAGGTAGACCAGCTTGTCACATCATGCCACAAGCTTCCAGTCATATACCCAGCTAGCCCAAAATGTGATTTGCTCACAATGACAACTGTTAGACTCTGTACACTTGGAAAAATGTGTACAACACCAAATGGGGAACACATAGTAACTGAAGCATAAAGATGGCAAAAAATTCTTTTGTCAGGGAAAAAAATCAGACAAAGCTTTTCAGAGAAAGTGACATATTAAAGTCTTTCAGACTGGGTAAAGTTGCATAAATGATAAGGGAGGAAGACAAATCTAGATAGAGGATACAAATGGGAAGAGGAAAAGGCATGTATAAGGAACAGCAAAAATACAGGGTCCAGCACAAATAATGCTCCTTTTTTATTTCAAAATCTTTTATTACAAAACCATAAGCATATAATTCTGTAACATAACAATATCATACTCAAGTATACCATATAACATTTTAGGTGAAATGTTCAAATTAAAACTGTAAATTATTATATCCATAACCCTACCAACTACATTCAAGCAGGTGTTACTTCTTCTGGACCCTGTAGTTTATTTTAGGTACAAAATATGAAAAAATATGACAGAATAACTTTTATTGGGTTGTCAAAAATTTTAGTTTTTTCCATACAATGGCTCTAGTAGTGCTCAGCTGTCTTTAACTTCATTTGAAACAATTTTGTTTGATGGTATTGTGACAACTGTCATATCAGCGTACATTTAAAAAAATTTAATCAAAATTGGTGAGTTCGTGTGCAGCCATTTTAACAGTGAAGATGAAAGAAAATATGCAACATTTTTGGCACATTATGCTTCATTTTTTCAAGAAAGGTAAAAACGCAACTGAAACAAAAAAAAATTGCACATGCAGTGCATGGAGAAGGCGCTGTGAGTAATCAAAAGTGTCAAAAGCAGTCTGCAAAGCTTCTTGGTTTACTGACATTTTGGCCAGGTAATTCTTTCCTGTGGGGCTGTCTTATGCATTGCAAGATGTTTAGCAGCACCCCCGGCCTCTACCCACTAGAAATCAATAGTGGGAGATAGCCGAAATGCTCAAAACATCCAAATCAATAAAGTTGATTTGGAAAAAACTAAATGGACTTTTTGGCCAACCCTATATTACAAATCATAGGTTCCAACCTATTATTGGAACATGAAAGCAATTTTAATAGCTTATAACCAGCTCTGTTTTTAATGGAACAGAATGGGAAATATTAGGGTGTATCACATGTAAAAAGGGTAAATATCTTGTTAAAGTATTTTTTTCAGATGCACACATATGCACATGTCTATGCCAAGTCATGACATAAATGTATTTCTTATGGGTTGTGGTAACTTTTGTTTTGTAAACATCAGGCTAGATAATCATACAGCAAATTACTAGTAGTTAGCACTAAAGGATGAGATTACAAAAAATTTAATTTTCTAAAATATTTAGTGTTTGAAATTCTCACTAAAATCATGTACTGCTTTGTAATTAGAAGGAAAAACATATATTTAAAGAAAGTACACAAAGGCTTTAAAGCTCAGATAACTGTGAGGTAGATGGTGTTGTTAACCAAAATAGGGATCACAAGAAGGAAGGTATTGTATCAGCAATTTTCAATATTCTTCATCTCATGGCACATAAACTATTTACAAAAATTCTGTGGCACACCAAAAAATATATTGTATTTTTGGCCAATCTGACTAAAAAAATAGGTATAATTTTGATTCATTCTCACTTTATTGGTGGCTATTGTGTTGGCTGTTGTCATTTTTTATTTGACAATCTAAGGGAAAAGAGGTCGGTGCTGCTGAATAAATAATCAGGTATTGCATGTTTTAAAAATTCTTGCTGCACACCAGTGTGCCTGCTGCAGTACACTGATTGAAAATTGCTGCATTAGATGAAGATGGGAATTTACATTTTATGTATACTGAGTCTGAAATGCTCATAGAAGATTCTGACAGCATGAGCTAGAGAAGTTATAACAAAAACTTAAAAGACATAGTGTGGGGTACACATTTGGTAAACAGCCACATAGGTGATAGTTGAAGCCATGGCTGTCCAAGGACACAGAACAGGACCCCGCCACACACAGAGGTCTGGGGAAGACCTGCCTTTAGAGAGTGAGAGATGGAATCAGAGACAGCAACAGGGAGATGTTAGCAGGTAGGAACTCTAAACTGATTCAGGAATGAGGCCACGGGAATGGTTACATTATCATCAGATCTGGGCTTTATACTACAAGCAAGATGTTATTAGGCTAATGGTGCTTATAATCTGGAACTGAACAATGTGAGTGCCCAGTAACATTAGTGTTTGGTAACCATTGCTGTCTTAGTCCTTGGCATGAATATCATACTTACACTACACTATTAGCTCCTTTGAGTGCCCAGTTTGGGTTTAACTTCCAGTTCATCCCAAGCCTCCAACTCACAGCACCTTATACATAGACAATGAATCTTAGCTCTTTCAAATAGTTAAGTGGCTAGAATCATATAACCATGACAGATTCATAAAAGAAAATACACAACTCCTCAGATTTTTCTTCCATAGGGCTTTACTTTACAGGCCATACGAACCTGTAAAGAAGCAACCATTGACTACACCAAAAAAAAAAAAAATTTCTTCTTCATCTCACTCCCAGGAATTGAAATTATCTTAGAGTCCTTCCTGTTATATAATGCCAATATCCCTTGGTTTCATCTTTAGAGCATTATAAATATTTCAGTTTTCATCACTAGAAAAAAAAGGCTGGACAACCCTGAACTTAATTATTATTCGGTATTAATAATTGACACAGTAAGATAGAACATTAGAAAACAATTTATTTAATAAAAACAAGTAATCATTTTTTAAAAAACACATGAGGTAGAAGCAATTGAGTAAAATGAGAGCTTTCCCCCAAGAAGATGGGTACACTGAGGTTAAAATTGGTCACCATATACATAAGTAAGTACTTTGAGGTAATTCACTTATACAAAGCATCTTTTTACAAAGATGCCCTGAAACAAAGGGCATATGAACATAAATAGGTGAAAATAGGGCTATACATTTTTAATTCGTCATCCATTTGACAACAAAATCTCTAAAGAATAAGATTTATTTTCTTTTATATCAGAATCTACTCTAGAATACTTAATACTAAAAATAACAAGTGGGAGAGCAAGAAACAAGCAGACATTAATTGAAAATAACCAATTTATAATTACTAATTTAAAGGCTAGGTTTTAAGTGAAAACATATCTGACACCAGAAAGCAAAAGTTAGGAGGAAAAAACAGCAAAATGGCTTTGGATCAGGAACCTCAAAATATAGGGGGAAAAAAATCACACCTATGTTTTCATCACCACAAGACTGTGCTTAAATGCTAAAAATAAATCAATTTTTTTACCTGTATTTCAAATAAAGTATGACAAAAATCTACAAAATCAAATTAATCCTGAAATTTTAAACTTAAAAGTTTAAATCTCAGATCCCCCAATAAATCCATCTCTAAAGTTGGTAAACACTTATAAAATTCTTTGTAGGCCACACCAAAACATATATATAGTACCATAAATGTAAACTTTTCACAGTTTTGGGTACACCTGTACTGAAAAATAAATAATGTTAAATTTTATGATGATAGAACTTTATGTTTAACAAGATTACACACACACACACACACACAAACCTGGAACTCTGAACAGAGTACATTTACATCATTTCATACCCTTAGGATAAAAGTTATCTCCACAGTCTAACCAGGTGATGATTTTAGAGCATACCCAAATTACTAATAATAAGAAATTGTTAGAGATCACTATGCTAGTATAAAAAAGCAAGGAAAACAGAGCTTCACCTTCTCTAAAAATCACCCAATACATAACAAAGACTTTCATGTTCTCTTGATGGCAGATCAATGATGTAAAATAAATTAAGGAAGACAAAGATAAAAAATGTACTTCAGTAATAAGGTTTATGCATCTCACCCTAACTCCTTCATATAATTTTTTTAAAAGATGACCTATTTTTAAAATAAACTACAATATGACAAGGAATAACTCTCTATTTTTAAATATAATGCTTTGTCCTATATTTATATAGAAAAAGATAGTCTGGCACAAATAATGCCCCCTTTTTATTGTAAACTGTTTTATTATAAAATCATTAGCATGTAATTCTATAACATAACAATATCACACTCAAGCACATTTCATGACATTTTAGGTGAAATGTTCAAATTAAAACTACAGATGATTACAGTCATTACCCCACCAACCGCACTCAACCAGACATTACTTCTGCCAGACCCTATATATTTAAAGATGTTACTTATTTTGAGAGAAGAGGAAGGGAGGGAGAAAGACAGGGAGAAAAACATTGACATGGGTGATTGGAAACATGATGTTAGATTGACTGGTTGCCTCTCACATGCCCCCAACCAGGGAACTGGCCCACAACCCAGGCATGTGCCCTGACCGAGAATTGAGCCGGCCACCTTTTGGTTTGCAGGCTGGTGCTCAGCTCATGGAGCCACACCAGCCAGGGCTATCCTATATTTTTAACAAAGGGTTATAAATCTGGATGAGAGAAACCAGAAGAGAGAACCAGAAGAGAGTTTTCCTAGATATCTCTAGGAAACATGCACCCTGTTCATCAGGTGGCAACAGATCAAGTCCCTTTTTTCCCCGTCTCACTTCACAAACTATCCTCCATCACCTTCATTATTTTACCTTCTGCTTAAAATTACTTCCTGTGAATTGTTTTCTCTCTCGCCTTTGTAGAATCAGATCTTTGAAATACACCCTTGGATAACACAAGACACTGAATGTTTAATTTATGCAAGTACATAAATAAAATACTCAAAATAGTACAATCAAATATGACCATATAGAAAACAAAAAGGATATTAATTTTTCTGAGTTTAGATGACAAAGCAGCTTCCCCAAAGGAGGATAGCGGTTTAGTGAGGACACACATCCCAGGAGAATCAGTTTACATTTGGCTCTGGTTATAGCAACGTTAAGACGTCTCCAATCTTTCAAGAGCTCACCAAGCTGCAAGAAATATAATTTTCAATTATTTGAGGTTTCTTATATATTTGAGTTTGTTCAGGCAAGGAACACAATTTGTCTTCAACTATTTTATTACTTTTAACACTATCCCCTAGACCACCAGGGAAGGTTATATTATTACTTTTAAAAATATATATTGCAAAAAAATTCATCAACACATTAAAAAATCTTAACAATTGGAAAAACTTGTCCACAGTGTCAACTTTAAGTATTTTATTTTTGGTGTGATAGCCTAGCCATAATTTAAAATTATTAAATACATAATAAAAATAAAAAGTAGAGCTATCTGCCACTCATTGTAGCATTGTTTGTAATAGTAATACAAATAGAAAACTCAGGGGAGTGGTTAAATTATACCATAACACATATATACAGGGTCTGGCAGATTTAACGCCTGCTTCAGTGTGGTTGGTACGGTATTAATATGGGTGCAATAACCTATAGTTTTAATTTGAACATTTCACCTAAAATGTCATATGGTGTGATATTGTTATGTTAGAGAATTACATGTTTATGATTTTGTAATTAAAAAAAGGGGTGTTATTTGTGCTGGACCCTGTATAATGGAAAACAATGCAACAATAAGAACAGAAGGAAATCTCTTTCTATATATTGACATAGAAAGATCTCCAAGCTATTTTATTAAGTGGAAAAGCAAAAGTCCAGAATAACATACTTTTACCTTTTGTGTAAAAAAGAGGGAACTATGAATACTCATTCTCATCTGCTTGTATATGCCTAGGAAACTCTAGAAGGTTACCCAAAAAACTAAAAATGTAATTATCTGTGAGTATAAGAATCAAGTAGAAGAGGAATAGGTAGAAAGGAGACTTTTTCTATGTACATTTTTATAACCATAGGGAAGTATCACATAGTCAAGAAAAATAAATCAATAAGAGGTAAAAATGAAAACAAAACAAAAACTGGAATAATCTATAAATCTAAAAGTATACCTGAGAAAGCCTTTGTATTTAAAATGCCCCAAATGCAATAGCCAAGAGGTAGAAGCTACCCAAATGTGTGTTGATGGATAAAGGACTAAACAGAACATGGTATATATATGCAAAGGAATATCATTCTGCCTTTAAAAGGAAGGAAATTCTGTCACATACTACAACACGGATGAACCTGGAGGGCATTATTCTAAGTGAAATAAGCCACTTACAAAAGGACAAATATTGTAAGATTCCACTTATATAAGGTACCCCGAGTAATCAACTTCATAGAGACATAGAGCAGAGTGGTGGCTGCCAGGCTGGAGTGGGAAGGAATTAGGGAGTTGTTATTCATGGGTATAGAGTTTCAATTTGCAAAATGAAAAAGTTCTGGAGATCTGTTGCATGATAGTGTGAATATACTTAACACTACTGAACTATACACTTAAAAATAGCTAAGGTGGTAAATTTTATGTTCTGTGTTTTTACCACAATTTCTTAAAAAAAGAGAGGAAAAAAAAAGTCCCAGATAAATCAGCAGAAAATACAATTAACTTGCCGTTCCATCTTTATTACTTCTAACAAAAGATACTAGAATGATACTTTTGTCTCTTCCTTGGTATTTGTCTACTGTATTAACTTCAACCATCCCAACAGAAGAATGTGCCAATAAATCATTGATGATCTTTAACTGCTGCCTGTATGGTGCAATGATACCAATATCAGAGGGATTACATCCAGCCTAAACAGAAAGAACACAATGTGAAATTTTTTAAATCTTGATTTTTATTATTTAAACTTTACTAAATTCATTAAATTAAATGTTTACTACGTAATGTGCCCAACTGTTGTTTCTAATAGATATTCCTATCACAAGGAGTAAATATAATTATGGAATTTGTTCTAAATCAATATTCACATTTCCTGAGATGAAATAATTTCCTCAAACATTGTTCCCTTGATTTTTAGTTCACGACAGTATAATGGTTTGCATGCCACTAGACGATTGCTGCCATATCAAAAAAAAGTATAAAGAAATACATTTCACTTTCTGCTATCCTTTACACTGAAGTTTCCAATCCCCAATCATACTGACTATAGCACTATATTGACACAGTCAGAATTATTTGTTACAAAAAGTTATCCTAAAAGGAAACCCAAAATGCCATTAAAAAAAATTACATGTCTGAGATAAATTTTCTCAAAATGGAACAATCAGGCTTCAGTTCTCTTAATGAACAATGGTAAATGCTACCACATCTTAAGTTCCTTGCATTCTAACATTTTATTACTTTGCAAATATTAATTTGCCCTCAGAATAAAATTCAAAATTACCTTAATAAAAATTGAGGTCAGGAAAACTATGAGTTTGGCTTCTGTTATATTGCTCACACCACTCTTTTCAACTTGTTCCGGTGCTGGAACCTATAAAGAAAAATAAGCATCCTGCTTATAAAACAACTTCTAAAGTTAAGAGCACACACGTAGCCATAGAGACTGTACTGCCAGTTGTGGAGGCAGTTGAAAAATTTCTTCATCTTAAAAGTTGAAATGAATGAGATTATTCACTTTCAGAAAGCCATCCAGAGGCAACTATCTTAAATATGACACAGTTCAGACTAAAATTTTTATGAAAGCCGACCACACATTGGGCTTCACATGCTTTACTCTGTAATCCCCCATTGTAAGGACTCAAAGGCCAGAGAAGATAAGTAACTGGCTCAAGGTTTCACAGTAAGTCAAGGCATTAGGAATCAAAACTTAGATTTGGCTCCAATATCTGTGCTCTTTCCATTTTCTTGTTGTCTTTTACACAAATAATGGAGCAGATAAAGTTCCCCAGGTTCTACAATATGTGGTAAAATTCTCCAAGGACTATTTTTCTCCTACGCATCCCTAACTAACCTTGATTATGTTTAATAAAACCTATTTGGAATCTTGATGGTAAGAAAGAGAAAACCTAAGTAGCAAAAATAAAGAACCTAAGCAATTATTGGTGAGGTAAATAATTGTACTGGAAATCATACCTAATAATTGGGAGATGTGGAATTGGAATTTATAAAAGCAGTCATCTGTGAGATCAGCTTATTTGAAAAATTTCCCAGAATCTGCCTGCCTCTAGGTGTTAATTCTTGAACCTGAAATGCTAAGAGCAATGTTCAAGAGAATGAAAATTCCATCAGGGTATGCCCAGGTAGACCCCATTTTTTAACAATCAGCTAACTCCACCCATCTTAATAACAAATGATGTATTTCAGAGTGATACGCATACATATAATTAGCCACTATATTTTTATTTGAACTTAGGTAAAGACTTCTAAATCGATGCTGAGAAGCACTATGTAATACAAACTGTAGGAATACAGGGTCAAAGCTTTGTTCTTAGTTCCTAGAAATAAGTCATTTAAAGTCCTTGTGAAGATTTTTGTTTAATGCCAAGTTTGTAAAGAGGTTTTAACGTGCATATGTGGGGTGAGGAGGTATATGGGAAACCTCCTTACTTTCAGCTCAAATGTGCTGTGAACCTAAAACTCCTCTAGAAAATAGTCTACTTAAAAAAAAAAATCTTTTAAAGGACAAAAATTTGTCGTATCTTTAGTCCATTTGTAAACCCAGCCCTTTGACAGTATTAATGCCAGTTTCTTTTCTAGGAATATAATTATACTCTTGAGTTCACTTTCTAGTTTTCCTACTTCAAAAGTCAATTCTGATATCTATCAATCCTCAGAAAAACTTCCTCCCAATGATACTGATATAAAAAAAAAAATCTGTGTGTGCGTTGCAGAAGTGTACAAAAAGTATACTATTTTAAACTGATAAGCTCTACTGAGTCATTTGCTACTGAAAAATGAGCAATTTAAATAATAGGAGAAAAACTTAAGAATCTTTTTTTTTTTTTTTTACCTGGTCTGTATTAAGAAAACAAACAGGATTGTTTGGTTCAAATGCTCCAATCAGCCAAGGACACTCCGAATAATCAGCATAAAATTCCAGTTCCAGCTTTACATCTTTGAAATTAGGTAGGTTTATCACTGCATTGGCCACTTTGTCTGATCCACATTCCAGTTTTCCTTCATATGTCAGTTTATTACTTAAGGACATAATTTTACTAAGGGAATTACAAAAATAACTTTAGTTTTGGTATATGAAAACAAACATGAAAATCCCTCCTAGCTGCCATTGTTATAAATACCTGTTCATTCTGTACTGCACAGTTAATTGTACAACAGCACTTTTATTCTGCTCCAGCCTCTTGAATAAGCTTTCACTCATGCCAAGAGCTCTGTCAACATAAATTGAGGCTTATCAGTGTGCCGTAACTGTCTCTTAAAAAGAATCTAGTTTAAAAATAAAACTTCAGTGTTTGCTTACCTTGCTTCACGGTTTAGCACCAAAGGAGGAAGCTGCTGATGATCCCCCACCAACACAAATCTCCGAGAAAAGAAAAGTGGCCCTAGGCAAACTGGTTGGCTAATTTGAGAGGCTTCATCCACAATACAAAAATCAAAAATTTTACGGGAAAATATTGGATGGTTTATTCCCATACATGTTGTTGCAACTATAAGCTAAAAACAAAGAAAACAGACCAGTTATTTAATATGTCCAAGAAATGTAAATTCTTTTTCCCACTTTTGAAATTAAAAAATATAAAAAAGATTTTTATCTTCAATAATGGGAATCCCCCAATATTATTTAATTCTGAGACAAACATGCAAAACATTTTTTACTTTTTACTACAAATTGGAAAAAAAAAATGAAGTAAACTTTCCAAACACTGTAACAATTCTCAAATTTGCAGACCAAAAGCAGCTCCAACAAAAGCCAAAGGAACAAATAAGGGGAAGCCTAGTAGATGGAAAACTTTTATACAAGAATCACTCTACTCCAGCCGAATACCACAGAAAAAACTGTGGCTTCGCCCCCACCAATACCAGCAGAGACCGAATTGAAAAGCTAGACTCCAACTGTCCCGAGGTTCCAACAGGGCTCCACAGTACCCTGCTAGGTCAGAATCACAGAGAGCCAAGTAGGGAGCCAGGACTTTCATTCCTGCTGGCTGGTTATGTGTCCCCACCTGCAAGATCAGTGGAGCCTGTGTGGAGAGCCTCGACTTCCGTGCCATCCAGCAGTAAAGAGGAGCCCCCACCTTGTGTGTCAATAAGGCTGAGTGGGGAACCTGGACTTCAGCTCCCACCTGGCAGTCATGAGGTGGCATACCCGTTTGTCCTACCAGAGGAGTGTCAGAGGAAGCCAGCTAAAAACAGAAGTTTTAAATAACGTAATACAAAACTGCTCAGGTTTCATCCAAAAAAATCACTCATTCTACACAGAACCAAGAAAATCTCAAACTAAATGAAGAAAAACAATTAATAGATGCCAACACCACGATGACATCAGAATCATATGACAAAGATTTTAAAGCAGCCATGACATAAATATTTCAATGACCAATTATGAACACACTTGAATCAAATGAAAACATTAAAAGTCAAAAAGTAGAGTCTCAGCAAAGAAACAGAAGATAAAAGAACCAAATGCAAATTTTAGAACTGAAAATGCTCATACAATAACCAAAATTTTAAAAGACCACAGAACAGGCTCAACATTGTGGGACAGAAGAAAGAATCAGTGAAGAGAGACACAGAAAAATAGAAATCACTGGAAGGCTTAGTGAAAAAAATAAAGGAATTAAGAAATACAAATTGGCAGTCACAAAATAGTCATGGGGCTTATTTTGTGGGATTACAGTCAACAATATTGTAATAACAATGTATGGTGTCAGGTGGGTACTAGACTTATAGAGGTATCACTTTGTAAGTTATATAAATTTCTAACCACTATACTATACACCTGAAACCAATATAATATTGAAAGTCAACTGTAATTAAACTTTTTAATTTAAATAATTATAGAAATTATATAATCTAAATAACAGAGAAAATACTTAAAAACAGTAAACAAGCTTCACTGATCTGAGAAAGAAAACAGAAGACCTACCATTCATGTCCTCCCTGTCCCAGAGATAAGGGAGGGGCTGAAAAAGTACTAGAAGAAACCATGGTTAAAAATGTTTCAAGTTTGACAAGAGACATTAAATCTGTAGATTCAATAAGCTAAGGAAAAAAAAAATCCAGGACAAAACACAATATAATTAAAATTCCAAAAACCAAAGGAAAGAAAAAATCTGGAAAGCAGCCTGAGAAAGCCACACCTTGCTAAAGGGGAAAACATTCTAATTCAAGTGTCTCCATATTTCTCATTAGAAACTGTGGAAGCCAGGAGAAATAGTGTCAGAAAATTTTTCCATGACTCAAAGAATTATTTAACCAGAATCCAACAACTAGCAAAACTACCACTCAAGAACAAAGGGAAAATCGAGACATTCTCACACTGAAGGAAAACTAAGAGAAGTTTTTGCCAGCTGACCTACCACCCTAAAAGAATAGATATAGGGAGTCTTCCAAAGAGAAAGGAAATGATAAAACACAGAAACTTAGAACATGAGGAGGGAAGAAAAACACAGTAAGCAAGAAATATGAATAAACACAATATGGTTTCCATCTCCAAATTATCTTTGATGGTTAAAGCAAAAATTTTAACATGCTCTAAATGTAGAAGAAATATTTAAGACAATTATATTATTAACAGGAGAAGATAAAAGGCCAAAAAAAATGAAGGTAAGGTTTCTAACTTCACTTGTACTAGTAAAATGACAATAGCAAGAGACTAAGTTATGTATATATAATGCACTAACTAGAGCAACCACTAAAAAAAACTATTCAAAGTAACACATGCAATAACATTATAGGTAGCACAAAATGCAATTCCAAAAAAAAAATGCACAAGTAATCCAGAAGACAGGAAAAAGAAATCAGCGGAACTTTCCAGAACACTGGGTGAGAAGCAGGGAATCGGCGGCTTTCGGAGGTGCTCGCAGTAATGTGCTCTTTCCCGCTCCTCCACACCTGCCTCGGCCGCGTTCACGGCTGTCAAAAATGGTGAAAGAAACCACTTACTATGATGTTTTGAGGGTCAAACCCAATGCCACCCAGGGAGAATTAAAAAAGGCTTACAGGAAGCTGGCCTTGAAGTACCACTCTGATAAGAATCCAAATGAAGAAGTTAAAACAGATTTCTCAAGCTTATGAAGTGCTGTCTGATGCGAAGAAAAGGGAATTATATGATAAAGGAGGAGAACAGGCACTTAAAGAAGGTGGAGCAGGTGGTGGTTTTGGCCCCCCCATGGACGTCTTTGACATGTTTTTTTGGAGGAAGCGGAAGGATGCAGAGGGAAAGGAGCGGTAAAAATGCTGTGCATCAGCTCCCGGTAACCTTAGAAGATTTATATAATGGTACAACAAGAAAACTAGCTCTGCAAAAGAATGTGACTTGTGACAAACGTGAAGGTTGAGGTGGCACGAAAGGAGCAGTAGTGTGCTGTCCCAATTGCCGAGGTACTGGGATGCAAATAAGAATTCATCATATCGGACCTGGAATGGTTCGGCCAATTCAGGTCTGTGTGCATGGAGTGCCAGGGCCATGGGGAACGGGTCAGTCCAAAGACAGATGCAAAAGCTGAAATGGAAGGAAAATAGTTCGAGAGAAGAAGATTCTGAAGTTCATATTGACAAAGGCATGAAAGATGCCCAGAAGATTACATTCCATGGTGAAGGAGACCAAGAACCAGGACTAAAGTCTGGAGATATTATCATTGTTTTAGATCAGGAGGACCATACTGTTTTCACTCGGCAAGAAGACCTTTTCATGTGTATGGACATGCAACTTGTTGAAGCACTGGGTGGCTTCAAAAGCCAATAGCTACACTTGACAACCGAACCATAGTCATCACCTCTCATCAGGTCAGATTGTCAAGTGTGAGATATCAAGTGTGTGCTAAATGAAGGCATGCCAGTTTGTCATAGACCGTATGAAAAGGGTCACCTAATCATTGCATTTAAGGAAAACTTTCTTGAAAATGGCTTTCTCTCTCCTGATAAACTCTCTTTGCTCGAAAAACTCCTACTTGAAAGGAAGAAGTAGAAGAGACTGATGAAATAGACCAGGTAGAACTGGCGGACTTTGATCCAAATCGAGAAAGACAGCGCCATTACAACGGAGAAGCAGATGGGGATGGTGAACGTCATGCCAGGGGTGGTGCTCAGTGTCCGGCCTCTTAATGAGGCCAGTGAATGACACCCACTGCTGGCATTTTATATACAGTAGTGAATGAGTGAAGGACTGTAATCATTATATGCTCACTACTTGCTATTGTTTTTGTCTTCATATTCAACTACAGTAATGTTTTAAAAGTGAAATGAAGAATAAACTCAAAATATAAAAAAAGAAAGAAATCAAAGAAACAAAAAACAGAGAAAACAAAATATAAAGTGGCTGACATAACACCCTGACATGTATCAATACCTGTCATAAATGTAAATGGTCTATATACCACATACATTTTAAAAAACAGATTAAAAGATACTAAGTAAAAAATAGAGTTTGGCAGGGTAGATAAAGAAAACATACCTCAGCTAAACACAAGGAATCACTTCAAATTTAATGCAAAAGTCATGTGGAGAGTGAAAAAATGGAGTATCATATTGATTTTCATTTGTTGAATGATCCCATTTGTTCATGGTAGATAAACTTTTTAATATGCTGCTGAATTCAGTTTATAAGTATAGTGCTGGGAATTTTTGTATCACTCAAATATGCCCAATACATTTTTTAACACAGGTGCAAAAGCAATTCCATGGAGAAGTGAAAGGTTTTTTTCAAGAAGTGCAGCTGGACATCAACAAGCAAAAAAGTGAAGCTTGACCTAAATCTCACAACTTATACAAAAATGAACTCAAAATGGTAACAGACTTAAATATAAAACATAAAGGTGTAAAATTTTTAGAAAAAAATAAAAACATAGGAAAAACCTTCAGCATCTGGAGCTAGACAGAGTTCTTAGACTTGACACCAAAAGCAGAATGTATGAAAAACTATATACTGGACTTCATCAAAATTAAAACCCTTTCTGCTTCAAAAGACCCAGTGAAAGAATGAAAAACAAGCTACTCAGTGGGAGAAAATATCCACAAATTACATATCCAATAAAGGACTAATATCTAGAATATATAAAGAATTCTCAAAACTCAGCATTAAAAAAATAAACAATCCAAATGGGCAACAGACATGAAGAGACACTTTACTGGAGAGGATATATACATGGCTAATAAGCACATGTAAAACATCACTAACCATTAGGCAGCTATTTGCAACCGGTATGCTGCAAGAATTTTTAAAACATGCAATACCTGGCTGCTATAGTCAGGGGTACTCATCTCTTTTTCCCTTAGACTGTCAAATAAAAAAAAAAATGACAACAGCCAACACAATGATAGCCATCCAGTGTGAATGAATCAAAATTATACCTATGTTTTTTTGTCAGCTCAGCAAAAAATATAATTTTTTTTGGTGTGCCACAGAATTTTAGTAATTAGTTTATATGTACCATGAGATGAAAAAGGTTGAAAATCACTGCCTTCAGGAAATGCAAACTAAAAACACAATGGGACATCACTATACACTATCAGAATGTCCAAAATGAAAAACAGTACCACCACTAGATGCTGATAAGGATTACTCATATATTGCTGGTAAAAGTGTAAAATGTTACAGCTGCTTTGGAACATAGTTTGGTAGACTTCTAAATATCTAAGCATGAAATAACCAGATGACCCAGAAAGTGCGCCCCTGAGCATTTATCCCAGAGAAACGAAGGCTTACATTCACATAAAACCCTGTATGTGAATGTCTATAGTAGCTTTACTCCTAATAGCCAAAAACTGGACCAATACTCACCAATAAAAAAAGAACAAACTATTGACACACGCAACAATCTGAATCTCCAGAGCACTGGGGTAAGTGAAAAGCACCAATCCCAAAAGGTTACATACTCTATAATTCCATTTATATAACATTTTTGCTATGTCCAAATTGTAGAAATGGAGAACAGGTAAGTGGTTATCAGAGTTTAAGGAGTAGTAGAATGGGAAAGAAATGGATCAAGTTATAAAAGTGTAATATGAGTGATATTTGTGGTAACAAAACGAACTATTCTGGATCAATGTCCATGTCCTGGTTCTGACAGTTTACTAGTTTTGCAAAATGTTACCATTGGGCAAAGGATACTGTATTGTTTCTTAAAACTGCATGTGAATCTATAATTATCTCAAAATAAAGTTTAATTTTTAAAAAGTCAATTAACACTTCAAAATTTTTTAATAACTGGAATATTAGACAAAGGAGTTAAAAGAAGAGTCTATTAATCTAATTTATTTTAGACGACTTTTTAAAAGACAAAAATACCAGTTAAGACTTCCCAGTGAAAATATATAGAGATGTTAAATAATAAAATATAAATTGGTTCCATACCAAAGTCTAGAAAAACCCATCAAAAGACTGTTCATGTGCCACCGCTTCTAATTCAAACTCACTGAAAGAATCCTGATTAATAGTTTTCTAGGTGTGATAGTGTGTTATAATAGGAAACATATATTTGGTCTCCTCCTAATTCTTGACACAGAGCACCTCAACATCCTTGGAATTCCCTGAGTGATGGGGCAGAGGGGAACATCTTCTGTTACTCATAATTAGCCCCTTTCAACCAAACCAGAATTTATTGAAATGAGGTGACACTGAAGATGGGAGCTGGTTGCCAGAGGAACCAACCATGTAATTACAGGGTTAGAACTTTCATCCATTTTTTCCACCTCCAGGAAGGGTGGAGTGTCTGGGCACTGAGCTGATCACCAGTGGCCAATGATTAATCATGCCTACATGATGGCCTCACCTTAAAAATCCCAAAGGCGTGTGGTTAACACATCATGGTGCTGGGAGGGTGGTTCTATGCCCTGGAAAGCATAGAAGCTCCATCCGCCTTTCCACATACTCTACCCTAAGCATCTCTCCCATTTGGCTGTTCCTGAATTGTATCCTATGTAATATATTCAGTAATAGTAAGTAAAACACTTTCTTGAGTTCTATGAGCCATTCTAACAATTATCTAACCCAAGGAGGGGGTCATGGAAGCCCCAATTTACAGCTAGTTGTTCAGTTGCACAAGAGGTCCTGATTTGCAATTTAAACTGAAGTGGGGGGCAGTCTTGTGGGACTAAGCCCTTAACCTGTGGGATCTGTGGTGACTCCAGGTAGTTAGTGTCAGAAGTGGTGTAAGGAGAGAAACAGTTTTCCTTTACTAGGATATTTTAAACCAAAAACCCTCCTTTCAGTTCAGAAGCAAACAGCAAACTATAAATTAGTAAATTGGTCCTCTGGTTTACATGAATTAATCATGTACAAATTTGGTCAATGCGCCTGAATTTCCCAGAGTGCTGTTTCCCCCCTCATTCTGGCTACAGAAACTAGTATCTACATTATTATACCATACTGTACTTACCTGACTATTGTAGAGTTCTTCCAGAAGAGCTAAAGATTTAATAGACTTTGATCTGCAAATTTCCTCCTCTGTATATTTCTGAATATCTGGATGTACCTTCTGAATCTGACCCAAGCGCAAAAATCCTATTTTAAACTTGGCTAACTTCAAAAGAATATTGTCAACAGCAGAGTGTGTATAACTGGTCAATAAAACACTAAAACCACAGGCATAGAGAATTCTTACCTAATAATGAATAAGAGAAAGGAAAACAACATTACTTTTAATTCCAGACAATGTTTAACATGCTTCTATTTTTCTAACAGAATTAGAAAACTTAATAGGAAGCATATCTAAGAACTGAACCAAGTAACTTTGTTAAAATTATAAGGCCAAAATGTTTTATGAAAGTAACATGGCATTATTATGTTATTAATTATGTTAATAAAATTTAATACATATAAAACTTGAATAGTGCCTGGCACACAATATCAATCAATAAATATTTGCTACTATCATCATGATTAATCAGTAAATTACTGATTAAGAAATTTACCAGTATGAAAAAAAAATCCAAGAAAATCTATTTCAACCACCACTATATAATTTAACATTTTTTAAAGGGAAGGAAAACATAACAATGATACATATACCACCAAAATAAAGAGACATTAAACAATCCTAAATGCAAGAAACCTATAACATGATTACAACTATTTGTGAGTTAGCTTTTCTATTTCTGTCATTCTAAAAAGTTAATTTGAAATAAAGGCATTTTAAGTTAAAATTCAGCCTTTTTGGTATCAAACATCACATTCTCTGAACAAAGAAGAAGCTGATTTACACATTTAATATCTAAACAAAAGAATAACAGCCTTACAAGAGTACATATTGTAGTTGTCTTTCCTGTCCCAGGCATACCCACGATGAGTGTGTAGTCTTTTGAAAGAAGTACCTTTTTCATTGCTTGCCTCTGAGGCTTATTCAAACCTACATTTAAATTTAAAAATAACAGGAAAAAGTGTTGAATTTCAACGAGCAAATTAATTATTTATAAAAAAAGCAGTCGCCATTCAAATTTCTTCAAAACATCTTTGCAAAGAAAATACGGTGATGTAAAAAAAATATGTAAACTACTTCCAAAGAGACTGTCTAAAAACCAGAACTATATATCAATTATTAAAACATGAAACTATAATGCAGATTAAACTATAAATAGAACCAAAAAAAAATTAATGGAAGCAGACAGGCTGATAGCATACCTTTTAGAATAGAGGCTACTGTATCCTTTGCATCGTGTGGAAGAATAGAACTGAGGTAGGATATAAACTGAGGTTCACGCAAGTCAATGATCAAATCTCGAAGTTTTTGGCTGCAAAGAAAAAAAATGCTTTTAGTAATATTTCTTAGGAAAGTGAACTAAAATTCAGATTCATTCACTGTTACAAACCTGGTATCAGTATTTTTCATCAATTTAGAAAGATTTCCTAATGGGGTATCTATATCACCATTTTTTTCTTCCTGGTCCAGTCTGAACAAAGTTGTTTCTGGGAGTACTGACAAGTTCCTAAAAAGGAAAACAGATATACATGAATGTTTTTCACGTAACATAGTCAATTGATCTAAATAAGAAATACATTGCTGTCTGCTAAAAGAGTAAATGGGCCAGGACAGCTATTCAAATGGCTACTAGTCTGTAATTCATACTTGGCAATCAAAGACAGCACAAAGTTCTGGATTGGTGGGAAAAGGCAGAAGAGGAGAGCACAAGGCACCAAGGTCAAAAAAGCTAATAATCAGGCCCTGGCTGGTGTCGCTCAGTGGATTGAGTGCTGGCCTGTGAACCAAGATCACTGGTTGATTCCCAGCCAGGGCCCGTGCCTGGGTTACAGGCCAGCTCCCCAGTTAGGGGCGTGCAAGAAGCAACCAATCGATGTATCTCTCATACATTGATGTTTCTCTCCCTCTCTTTCTCCCTCCCTTCCCCTCTAAAAATAAATTAAATTAAATTAAAAAAAAAAAAAAGCTAATAACCAGGAACCTATGACAGTTGCTAACAACTCACTTGACCTTGCAATTCTGGGCTCACAACCCCAGAAGGATCCTGAGCACATGGCTCAACCTCCACCAGCCTGGAGTACAGGATTCTTTCTTGACACCTTCTCTCACTCCTCTAGCAGCCCCTAAAGCCCTGGTGTCCCCTAAAGTTCCCTCCCTGATCCTCTCTAATGCCCTTTCTGGTCATTTTCCCTTAGGTCCCATGCCATCACATGGCTCCAAATCCCAAGTCTGCATCTTCAGGCCTGACCTCGCATCCCTCTCCCACCTGGTTCCTCACCCAAGCTACAGGTCTGGATACCCAGCAGGCAGCAAGGTCTTTCCACTTGCTTAAAACCTTCGGTGGGAAAGCTCGGTATATTCAAAACTGAACGCTTAGTCCCAGCTGAACCTGATCCCCTCTCTGTGGTCCTGACCTCAGGTAACGACACTTGCATCTACGCCGCCTTCCCTTTCTTCTCACCTTCTTCTCAACCTGCATATCCAGTCAGCATTCAGATGCCAGCCAACTTGACTTTCTAAATACTTGTCAAAGTCACTCCATCCTCTCTGCCGAACCTACCCTGCCCTCATTCACCCCTAGCCTGGGCCATTACAGCAGTTTCCTAGTTTCTCTGCTTTCAGTTTTGCCTCTGTCTATTAATTCTACTCTCCACAGTGTATTCCCAAAAAAAAAGCAAATATGATTATCAGTCTTCTGTTTAAAACTCATCAATATAGCCAAATAAAGTCAAAACTTATTAAGTTGGTATATAAGACCGTATTTAATCTGACCTCTCCAATCATTCCCTTATCTTTTACATTCCAGGAAAAAATTACCTGCACTTTCCTGAATGTTCCACTTCATACTACATGACACCATCATGCCTTTACATACCATGTTTCCTTTGTCTGGAATACTCTGCTCACATTACTTCACGAGGCTAACTTATTAAAATTCAAAATGACCTCTTTCTTTCTCTCTCTCTCTATTTTTGTTTTTGTGTTTTATTGAATTCATTAGGGTGACATTGGTTAATAAAATTATACAGGATTCAGGTGTACAGTTCTATAATACAATGTCTATATATTGCATTGTATGTTCACCACTTGGAAGGAGTCAAGTCTCCCTCCAACACCATTTATCCCCTCCCTTTACCACCCTCTTCTAATGCCCCCTCTCCCCGCCGACCCCCAGTATATAACGGTTTTCAAAAAACTTTCCCTGAGCCTCCTAAAATTGGGTTGAATGCCTCTCCTTGGTATTCCTATCAATTTAAACACTTATCATATTAGACTGAAAATACATTTATATATTTGTCTACCCACAAGACTGTAATTCCTGAAGGATTTGCAAAGCAGCTGGTACATGGTAGTCACTAAATAAATACTGCAAGAGACTGCAGAGAATCTTAATAGACAACACAAATATTGAGGTTCATACTCCCATATCATGAAACCCAGGCCAGTGTTGGTTACAGCTTAAGAGAATGATTGGGAGAGAACAAGCCCGGACATTTTCATTGCAGTTGCCCAGAAGCCACTGCATCCCAGCCACTGATCTCCACCCATTAAGAAATGGGGACACATGCCTGCACGTCAAAGCAAGGAAGGCTGGCAGTGCGGGTAGAGGGGGATATGGATATTGATGAACATGGATGGTAGATTCTGCCGCAAAATTTTATAGCAACTATTCTATTATTTACTATTTTTCTTTAAATCAACCTGCTTTAACTGAGATAAATATATCACAACTATAAATGGGAAAAAAATATCATTTTTTTAAGGGAATGAAATGGTGAGTGCCCAGAGTGCTAAGAAGGAGAAATAAGTTATATGTTTAATACAGGGTATCTGTCCTGCCCACCATACTCACGGTTGTGAGAATTAGGTAAGACTATGTCCACATTAGCAGTATAGGATATGATGCACTAAAAAAAAGATTAGCACTTTGGAATTTCCTCAACATGTCAACCATGAAATTAGTACATGACCCAGCAATTCCACTATGGTATATCTACAAAGGGAAATAAAAGTATGTTAACATAAAAATTTGCATGTGACTATTTATAGCAACACTAGCCATAACACCCAAAAAGTGAAAATAACTCTAATGTTCATCAGCTGATGAAGAGATGAACAAAATGTGGTCTATCTATGTAACAATATTATTCAGCCATAAAAAGAAATGGAGTACTTAAAAAAAAAGGAAAAAAATGAGGTCCTGATAAATGCTGAAACATGGATGAGCCTCATACTCATGCTAAGTAAAAGAAGTCAGACCAAAAATGTCACATATTATATGGGTCTCCTTGTATGAAATATCCAGAAGAGATACATCCATAGAGACAGAAAACAGATCAGTTGTTGCCAGGGGCTGGAGGGAGGGAAGAATAAAAAGCGATTGCTTGCCCTGGCCAGTGTAGCTCAGTTGGCTGGAGTGTCATCCCATAAACCAAAGGTTGTGGGTTTGATTCCTAATCAGGGCACATACCTAGGTTCCAGGTTCAATCCCCCCGTCTGGGAATGTACAGGAGGCAGCCAACAGATGTTTCTCTCTCATATCAATGTCTGTCTCTCTGTCTGTCTCCCACCCAAATCCCACCTCTTTAAAAGCAATAAAAAATGTCCTCTGGCGAGGATTTAAAAAATTAAATTAAATTTAAAAAAACTGATTGCTTAATGGGTATGTTTACTTTCAGGGTGTTAAAAATGTCTTGTAACTAGATAGAGGTGATGGTTGCACAATACTGTTAAATGCCACTAGACTGTGCATTTTAAAATAATTAAATGCCCTGGCTGGCATCAGAGCATCATCCAATGCACCAAAGGGTTGTGGGTTCAATCCCTAGTCGGAGCATGTACGGGAGGCAGCTGATAGATGTTTCTCTCTCACCTTGATGTTTCTCTTTCTCTCTCCCTTCTTTTTCTAAAATCAATAAACATATCCTTGGGTGAGGATTTTTAAAAAGTGTTAAAATAATTAATGGTCAACTTTACATTACGTGAATTTTACCTCAATTAATGTCAATAAATCACATGATTATATCAATAGAGAAGACAGCAATTAACAAAAATTCAACACTCATTTGTGATTAAAAAATAACAAACCTCTAGGTAACTCAAAATAGAGAGGAACTCCCTCAACTTCATAAAGAATATCTACAAAAGCCCTACAGCAAACATCATACTTAATGATGAAAAACAGGCTAGGCTAAAAAACAAGCAAACAAACAAACAAACAAAAAACCCAGTAGGTTAAGTGAAAAAAGCCAGTCACAAAAGACCACATATTGTATATTCTCACTTACATATAAAGTTCAGAACAGGTAAATCCATAGAGACAGAAAAAAAAACTGGTGGTTGCATAGGGCTGAGGAGTGACTGCTAATGGTTATAGGGGTTTCGTTTTGGGGTGATGAAAATGTTCTAAAATCAGTTTTGGTGATGGGCATAACTCTGTGAATATACTAAAAACCATTGAATTGTACGCTTTAAATGGATAAATTGTATGGTATGTGAATTATATTTCAATAAAGCTGTTACCCCTCTCCCCAAAAGGGGAACATTTTATTACCTGTCTAATAAACAGGTTACTGTTGTCCTGCTGATCTCTTTCACGTATCCTCTAGACAAAGCAAATAGTGTTCTCTGTTCTCCACTTAAAATAATTCTGTCACCTGCCATTAGATTTGTGATAGGCACGGCACCATTTTTACGTTGGAAACTATGTAAATATTGTCCATCACCAACTGTCTTTACATGTTCTGTTCTAATCAAGTTTCCAATGCAGTTGCCACTCTGCTCCCTATAAAATAAAAAGAGAGAGAAAACTTCCATTTATATAACATATATAAATACTGTATTTGCAGTTTTCCACAATTTCCTTGTTCATCTAACCCTTAGAAATGCTAATGCTATTATTGAGTCAGTCATTTTTACATATTCTGCAATCCACACTAAAATTTTAGAAATGCTAAGGAAACATTCTCTCTGTTAGCTTTAAAATACGTCATCTCTCAGCCGCAGGCCTCTAGATGAGTGCTGAGGAGCCCCTCCCTTGTTGCACCAGACTGGGGTCTCTGAGCAGCATGTGTGTCAGAATTTTGATCCCCGAAGGACACCCCCACCTCCTGTGCATAATGCAACATTAAAAATCACAAACTATAATAATCTCTTCCTAAATCTGATGTGAACAAAATACTAACTTACTTCTAAAGTGTTTACACAAGGACTTATTGTTACTGTTATTAAAATAGAGCAAGCAAAATGATAACTCAACTCCTTCTAGGAAATAAGTATTAAGCACTTACTTAATACTTATTAGTATTAAACACTATACACTTCAGAAGCTTGTTGGCATGTACACTTGACATGTTCACTGTACTTACGTGGTCTATGGATAACTAGTTAAACTTTCTCCACTGTAATGTTTCCTATTTTGAAGTCTAGTAGTAAGAAAATAATGGTCCAATTATTTCTAAAGTCACATTATCATCAGTATTCATTATGGAAAGAAACAAATGGGTGAAAAGCAACTAAATATTACATAGAAAAAAATACTCTGCAAGGAGATACAAAACGGCAACTTTACAAATAACTTGTAAAAAAAAGGATCTCACAAAATACAAGATTGCAACTTTAGAAAATGTAAATCTATATCAAATAAATTATTTAAATTTAGGTAATATAATTTTTAGCAAAATTATTGTATAATACCACATTAAGCATGCCTCTCGAAAGGACTGTGCCAACTTCTTTTTTTCTCATATGCCTATGAGGTAATAAATAACATAGTAGATTTCCTCTAAATAGAGGGCAGAGCAAAAGTAGATTTACAGTTGTAAGTACATGAAACACAGAGTTTATTCTTGTATTATTATTTATTGTATTATTTTCCACATGAAGAACTGTAAATCTACTTTTGCCCCATCCTGTATTTTGTAAAAAAGAAATGAAAACTATAAAACAAAACAAAGAAAATACTAGAACTATAAACTTTTGCCCTGGTCGGTGTGGCTCAGTGGATTGAGAGCTGGCCTGCAGACCAAAAGGTTGCCGGTTTGATTCCCAGTCAGGGCACATGCCTGAGATGTGGGCCAGGTCCCCAGTTTGGGGCATGCGAGATGCAATTGATCAATGTTTCTCTTGCATATCAGTGTTTCTCTCCCTTGTTCTCTCCCCCATTCTCTAAAAATAAATAAAGTATTTTTTTTTAACTGTAAGCTTTCTAAATACTAACATTTAAAGTATGAAGTAAAACTGCATTGATTTGCACTCTACCAACATATTGAGTTGGCCAAAAAGTCCATTACATTTTTTCCATAAAATAAAAGACACATTTTTCATTTTTACCAATAACTTTATGATTTGGATATTTTGATTCTGTCCACTATCTCCAGCTATTGGTTTCTAGTGGGTAGAGGCCAGCCATGCTGCTAAATCCTCCAAATGCATAAGACAGCCCCACAGCAAAGAATTACTTGGTCAAAATGTCAGTAGTATCAAGAAACTTCACGAACCACTTTCGACATGTTCAATCAGTCATAACACTTTCTATACACACTGCACAAATCTTTTCTTGTGTTTCAGTTGCATTTTGACCTTTCTTGAAATAATAAAGCAAAATGTTGTGTATTTTTTTCCACCCTCAACATTAAAATGGCTGCACAAAAATTCACCAATTTTGGTAAGTTTTTTTAAATTCATGTTGATATGACAACTGTAACAATACCGTAATAAAATTGTTTTGAATGAAGTTACAAACAACTAAGCACTAATAGAGCCATTGTAGAGAAAAAACTAAACAAACTTTTTGGCTAGCCCAATACCAAAATTCACCTTATGGTATACTCAAACTTATACTTTTTTCACAGATAAAAAAGGATTTACAAACATTTTTTAAAATAAGATTTCTAGAGGTATATTTATCCTACTAAAAATAGCTAACAATGGTGCTCTACTTAGAAACAATTCACTGATAGCCATCTGGAGTTAGCATGAACATATGAAATTGCATGTCTTTAACATGCTACATAATCTGTATTTGTCATGAATTTCAAATGACATCCTACTAGCTAATCCAAATCATTGAAGTTTCACTGTATTAAATGTATCACTTACATTTCTGAAGAAGGCATCAACCATATATTTTGGTGATTCTTTTTATTATCCTTTGATTGTGACTCCAGGGTTAACATTAGACACCAAAGGCTGAAATACTCTAAATGTGTAAGCTTGAGATGCTGGGTATCTTCTTTTATTTTGGTCAGCATGCCAATCGGGACGGAACTGTCATCCATCTGTTGTTCGACTGCTCTAAAAATGAAGCTCCAAGTCAGAGACATGTGTAAAATATTTCACTGGTTGGCTATATAATGAGGACTTTCTAAAATAAATACAGCCCTGAATGGTGTGACTCAGGTGGTTGGGCATGATCCTGCAAATCAAAAGGATATGGATTCGATTCCTAGTCAGGGCACATGCCTGGGTTGTGGGTCTGGTCCCAGGTTGGGGCAAGTACAAGAGGCAACCAATCAAAGTTTCTCTACATATCAATGTTTCTCTCCCTCTCTTCCTCCCTCCCCTCCCTTCTCTCTAAAAGTAAATAAATAAGATCTTTAAAGTAGATAAATAATAAATAAGTATACATATATGACAATCATCATAACTTGCAACTACAGTCCCTAATTTTCTTTGTCATTTCAATATTTTACAAGCCAAATGGCTTTTTACAAAACAAAATACTTAAGACACTCAATGTAAGGTTATTTGCCTTCAATGACTACATCCCTAACAACTGCTTAAATTTGGTATACTCTGGTCTTCATACCTGTAGGTAGCAAGTTTTGGCTTTTTCTACAACTGCATTTCTCAAAATCACAATATTCACATATCCAGCTCTCAGCCATAAGAAAGTCAACATAAAAACTAGGAGAATCATCTAGATTATCAGTTTTGCTTAATGCTAATTTTTAAATGTTTATATAGAAACAAATATGTCATAGGAAAGCCTACAAAACACTAAGAATAAAACATAAGATTTCAAAACAATGTGCTTATACTATAGGCCCAGACTTCCCGTGGTTCGTGGTCCTCTACCATTAAGAGATCCTTTGATACATTAGTTTGAAAAGTCCTTTCTGTGAATTTTCAGGCTGAATTAGAATTTTGGTTATTTGATCTTCTTTCCTAGTCTGTATTTACATCTAACTACTTTTTGTATCCTTTAAAATTGTCACTGGTCTATGAAGGTGTATATATATATATATATATATATATATATATATATATATATATGACTGTTTATAAGACAACTAAAAAATTTCCCATGTAATTTATTACATATGTCTATGTAAGAAAATAGACATATGTAAACAAGTCCACTGGGTCATACTAAACTATGTATCTGGAAGAAACAATTTCCCTGTTTTTAACTACAAAGGCCTGAAATTAAAATAGCAACTAAGAAGTAAAAGACTTCTTGAAAAAGCCATTTATGTTGTATTCACAAATGTCTACACTACATACTACATTTTTCTTAACCAAAGTTTAAAAAGCATTCTATTATTCCCCAAGGAAATAGGTTTGTTATAAATTATGAACTGTGCTCTTTTTCCCTAGAAATATGAAAAAAGGACTAAAATGAAGTCATTTTAGAAATACACACAGAAAAAAACAACTAAAATGAAATCATCAATGCCAGACCAGTCAACAACATTAAATCATTTTGAGTTGAGTGTATAAATGAAATTAGTATTTTTGGAAGACAGTATGTTTACCTGCTATAAAGAGCACAGTTGCCCACTTGTGAACAATATTTACAGGTTTGCTCTTCCTCAATTATTTGTGGCAAAGGAGCCAGCGTTGTCTTCTCCTTTCCAGTAGCAGATTTGCTAATACGGTGAAACAAAGAGAATGCCATCTGGTTTCTTAGTCTTAGTAATTCTGTGAGGAAAAAAAAGGTAGATGTCTTTTAAGAATTACGTAAAATTGATTATACAATATATCTTCCCCACTGCATAAGTAAAACTTTCAGATTTAAATACATTTAAAAAAAGTAAAGACCTACATTCATATTTCCCTCTACACTAGAATAACCGCTTAACATTTTGATATAATTTCTCCAATTTTTGTTCACTTGATAAATTCTTTCAACAATCATGTATCTCATGACTAGTACATATTGTGAAGCTGGTGTTTTATTAGCCAAATGCTAAGGATAAATACAGCTCTCTAGAGCATAGGATAGGAAGTTTATAAGTTTTGTATGACAAAATTTTAAAAGCTTAACGTTTCCAACTATACTATATATTGTTAAAATTCTTTTTAAAAAATACAAGTACAAATTACAACCTCTACTGGGCCTAACAAGTACAGTGAGCAACTGTCAGGTATAAATACAGCCACACCTTGTTTCACTGCACTTTACAGATATGTTTAACAAATTGAAAGTAAGACCCTCCAGCAGCGAAGATTATGACTTGCATCATGTCTAGTCTTTTTAGTATAACAGTATTTTTAAATTAAAGCATATACATTATTTTATTAGACATAATGCTATTGCACACTTATCAGACTCCAGGATAATGTAAACATAATCTTTATATGCACTGAGAAACCAAAAAACTTGTGTGACTTGCTTTATTGCCACATTCACTTTATTGCAGTGATCTGGAACTAAACCTGCAATACCTCCGAGGTATGCCTGTATGTATCACCAACAGTCGAAGGGAAAATAAACCAACAAACAAAACCCAGAGAAGTAAAATTGAGAGAAAACAGCTCAACCTCTTTTATCAAGATGGTTGGCAGGCACAGCGTACATCTGGCCAGTCTTAAGGTAGAGGAGCAGGCCAGCCTCTGGATCAGCTCTTCTCTCTTGACTTAGAAGTGTATACAGAATGAGCTGTGAAAACATTGTACATTTTGTCAAATAAAACTTTAAAATTTCTGCTTTTCCATACAAGTTTTGCAATCAACACATACTGTAATTTTAAAATCAAAAGGTAAATTAAGCTATTTCCATTTTGAAAATAACATGAGCCAAAATAGTAAAGGTAACACAATAAAGTTAATGCCAAACATTTAATTTTCATAAAACATAGCTTTTGCTTCTCAGTTTTATGGACAAAAAAGAAATATTTCAAATTTTTCTCAGTAAATATTTAGGTTTCCAATAAATTAATCAAACTGTTTTACGTTTTGAAGTTAACAGTTTTTAGACACTATTTTTCCTGTTTAAAATAAGTTAACTAAACACTAAAATACATATTATTTACGTCATAGTATTGTGACAACTAAATCAAATAACTCTACAGAGTTTACTGTTTTATTCAGATCTGAACTGTCATTAACTACATTAGGTTTACGAGGTGCTCTTCAGAGAAACCATCTAAGACAAGTTACAAATAGCTCCCTTAATCCATGAAAACATCTTAGCAGAAAGACCAAGTCACTTAGTCACATACGACATGATAACAAGCTTTGTTTTCTATGCAATCTTCAATATTAAAATATTATATGATTTATGAAGGGCCCAGTCTTTATAATAAAATTCCAAAACACCAAGATTAGTAATTACAATTAACACACTTAAAGATAATGTCAAATTATAATTATATGCTGGTTTTCCAAGCTATATTTAAAAAGATGAATTTACATAAGGCCAGAAGTATTATTTGCAGCATAAATATTAATTGTATCTATAAATTCATCATTACGTGCACAAGTTTACAAAAAAAATAAATTTTGTTGATTTTTGGTTTTTGCACCCTAAAAAAATAGTGCTTATGCAATTAATTAGCAAGTATAATAGAAATATAGAAGAAATCTCAATATACAAATTTTATAAAGAAAATACAAACCCAGATACCTCAATGTTCAAGGACATTTACAGAAATACTTCTGGTAATCTCAAATTTCTTTACAAAATAAAGTACAGAAACATTCCATCTTAGGAAATAATTATGTGAAAGTTTGATATTTTAGCTTGATATCCTAAATTCATCTGTAAACATAAGATTCTTTGGAAGGGCTATTGCTTCAACATTTGAAACTATGAAGCTTTTTTTGGGAAGGCTTCTTACAAGCGCCCTATTGTGTTCCCTGATATAGTATAAATACCAAATAAAACTTTTTAAAATTAAAGTGAACTCATAAACAACAAGGTAGAGTCTTTGGGCTATGGACCAACGGAGTCATCCAAAATTAATGGTTCTTCCATGTTAGGTTTTCCCCTCAATGAGAACTGAGGCGGAAGGAAGAAGTCCATAGGACTCTGCTCCTGGGACTTACTAGCAGGGGAAAATATCAGAAACGAAATTCCCTAAATATTAGGATAAAAGAAAGTTGGGCTGAAATTTTATAATATTATTACAAATTCAACCATATTACAAGTTAAATAGGTTTTTATTAGCTGGTTTAGGGACCACAGCTCCATATATCTTTCCTTTAAAAAATGTATTTCAAATGATGAATCATCAACTTAGAACTTTTGGAATATAATCCATTTATAAAATAAAGATCTTCTCTGAAATTATTTATAAGCTTTTTCTGTATTATCAAAGTGAAAATTTTGTATGTTCTAAGAGATCCATCTTTCCTCATCCCTATTATCTACATTATTCAATTAATTACCATAATTATTTTTTAAATGCTTCTTCATTTTTTTGCACAATGAATATGCAATATAAATTCCAATATTGTTGTTTGATCCTGGTTCTACTCAAATTTTTTAATACAAGAAATACTATTCTTTTATATACTATTTTATTCTTTTTTTTAGATTTATATTTATTTACTTTTAGAAAGAAGGGAAAGGAGGAAGAGAGGGAGAGAAACATTGATTGGTTGCCTCTCACATGGCCCCAATTAGGGACCTGGCCCACAACCCAGGCCTGTGCCCTGACTGGGAATTGAATTGGCCACCTTTTGGTTCACAGGCCAGCACTCAATCCACTGAACCACCATAGCCAGGGCACCATTTTATTCTTAAAAGTTCTTCTTGTAGTTTTTGCAAAAATAAAAGTTCCAACTGAATGAAGTTAAATACAGTAATGTTCTTTGCCTTGAAGACACTACAAATTTGAGCAGCAATTTTAGAAGACAGGTCTCTAAAATTACACCACTTTAAGACCATGAAACGTTTTTATATTTCTCTTCCTTTAGCAGTCAAATGATTTCAGTCAAACTTGTCCTTAAAAATAAAAAAGGTTAAAAATGTGCAGTCTCATGTACACAGAACACAGTTTTTGAAATTTTTGGCATGATTTTCCTTCCCCAAGAGGGCTTTAATCTAGTCAAGTCTTTAGTTCATAATTTCAACCATTTCTATGTTATCAAGTGAAAAATTTGTGTCTTCTAAAGCCTGTTTTTCCCCACCACCTTCAATATCTGTAAAATCTAATTATTAGTGTAAAACAAGAATACCTTACTTTGTTATTCCCAAATGAAAAAGCTTCTGTGAGGACTTTTGGTGTTTGGCATACAATTAAAAATGGCAGGAAAGATTTAATAAGAGGAAGTCTCTTTAAAGACAACAGGATAGTGGTTACCAGAGGGGAAGGGGTGCAAGGGGAGAATGAGGAGGGTAAAAGGAGTCAAATACATGTTGATGAAGGGAGACTAGACTTTGGGTGAGCATTCAATGCAATATACACATGCTGTATTACAGAACTGTGTATTTGAAAGTTATATAATGATATTAACCAATGTTGCTAGCAATAAATTTAATTTTTAAAAAAGAGAAAGCTTGCCCTGACCAGTGTGGCTCAGTGGGTTGGGCATCAACACAAAGCGAAAGGTCACTGGTTCAATTCCTAGTCAGGCACAGGCCTAGGTTGTTGGTCTGGTCCCTCAGTCAGGGTGCGTATGAGAGGCAACCAACAGATGTTTCTCTCTCACACTGATTTTTCTTTCCCTCTCTTCCTCCCTTCCTCTCTCTCTAAAAAATAATTAATTTTTTAAAAAAGAGAGAAAGCTGCCTCTTTAATCCCTGATTATACAACTATTTTGAATTTGAACATTTTTTATATGAAACCTGCTGAAATAAATGAAATTCCAAAGGCAAAAGGAATTTTAAGTAATATTACAAAATGTTATTTGTTATTCCCTTAATACATATTATACCATAAAAATACTGTAATATTACTCTCTTTTATTTTTATCTTTGCCTATTTAAAAGTGCCTAGGGCATACTACAAATTGCCAATGTGGAGATGGGCAGAGGGAATGGAAATAATTAGAAAACAAAGTACAACTTTACGTTAATTACTTTGTTGCTCTAATTAATATAAATTTCAGAAAATGTTGGACAACAGAAGATTGTTATGTATACTAAAGAGAAGAAAAGATTATTTTACAAACTTGATTTTAGCATAATGGTAAGAAAGTTCTATATTTCATTTTAGATAAAAATCAATATAATCAAGTTAATGGTAGGGAATAATGAGTTTACACTGATGTTTCCTAAAGACTGTCCTGTGTAGCTGTTACATGAAAACAACAGCTCCATGGTGAACTGGGTTTAGTAAACATTGGGTTAAACAAAGTTAAAATAAATCATATTACTTTAGGACTTCTCAGAAACTTTAATAGGCTAACATGCATCATTATATCTACAAATATACTTGGTTTCCTGAACTTACATGACCAAGGAATTCTTTTTTTAGGAGCATCTGATTAGACTGATAGTTTGGTAACATAAAGTTGGCAACTTTGTCACACAAGTTCATTTGTTACATCCTTTGCCAGAGAAAACTTACATTTACAAAACAATTTGAGTATTCTGCATGTATCACAAATTAAAAAGTACTATATGAAACTCAAAACATTACCTGAATTGAAACAAAATTTATAAAGCAAACTACATTTTTAAATCTATTAAACATTCAATTTTATTATGATTTATATACCTGACTACGGTGTTCAATAGAATTTGATTCTTTGCCAGTTTTAAGTTCCAATGGCATTATTATATTTTTTGCTTTACATCCTCGATGTATTTTCACATCAACTGTAACATCTATTTTGCCCTTTAACCCGAACCTAGGGGACCAAATGCTTTCTTCAATATCCAGTGATTTTATGACTTCGATGTTACATGTTGCATTATTGTTACTACCATCACTTGGCCTAAAAAGCAAAACACAAAAACAATTAGAACACTTAGCTAACATCTCATCTGTTACTATAGATTTTCCATTGCACACAGAGAATGTAGGGATGGAAGAGTCTACATACTTTCACAGCAGTGATTCTCCAAGTGTGTAACATCATAAAAACTGAGATTTAAAAAGTATAAGAATTCTGGCTGTTATATGATTTAGTTGACATGGTTTTCATGTTGTTTAAATCTGAGTTATTTCTTAACAAATAATATTTTCTAAAAAAAAAAAAATGCTATCTTCAGTAATTTTTAAAAACTGTTTCAGGATGCTTCAAATAAAATCTCCACGCATAAACTTCTGCAATCTTTAAAAAGACAACAGGGGAATTCAGGAAAGCCACAAGTTATCTAAAATTTCTTAAATATTAACATTTCTCTCACCAAATGTTACCTGATCTTGGTATGCATTCAAATATGCTTATGCAAAATAAAACAAGCTTTATTATTTATAAAATATCACATGTATACTTAATAGAATAGATGTAATTAAACTTTTAACATTACTTTTTCTACAAGTAATGTGATTTTAGACTTAGATCTGTGGAACAAATGGCAGTATTTCAATTTAACTGCTATGATTTTAATCAACATATTTTTGTAAAACTCCTTTGAAAACCACCTGATGGAGAATATAGTGTCATGAAAATGAAGAAAATACACATTTACTACATATGGGTGAGGAAAATTGTCTCTATAAATGGCTTTTAAAGGTCTCATTTTGTGCTTTGCAGTCTAAAGGCTTTTTTAAATGTTTTAAATTGATTTTGGAGAGAAAGAGAAAGAGAGAGACAGAAACACCAATTTGTTGTCACACTTATTTATGCATTTATTGGTTGATTCTTGTACATGTCCTGACTGGGGATCAAACCCCCAACCTTGGCATATTGGGATGACACTCTAACCAACTGAGCTACGCAGCCAAGTCTAAAGTTAATTAAACAAACAAACAAACAAACAAACAAAGACTATAAACTGCTGGGAAAATGTACAGAGGAATGTATCCTTCAGAAACACACCTAAGCTTCCATCACAAATAACTGAAACAAAGAAAAGTCTTACACCAAGATACAGAGATGAGAAAGAACACTGAGCTGGGAATCAAGAGATTCCTTACGCCAGGTTCATCACCACCAGCGGTTTTCATGTAAAACCTGGACAAGTCGCACCACTCCCTGGACCTCAATTTCCCTATTTTAAATCTAGAACTTAGTCTCAAAATTCCCTTTCAAGTCAAAGATTTTTCTGCATCCCACACTTTCTTTGGCTCCTATAATATACTTCTGCTGTGACACAATCCCTTGCTGGTCTACCCTGAGCCTCCTTCGATGGATCCCCCTCTGTCCTTGTGTTATCCCCCAGGGTTTCCGGCCTCTTCTGCTGCCCTGTGTTCTCTCCATAGTCCCCTCCATCTCAGTTTCCAGCTACCACCAGGACGCTGAGTTCTTGGACAGCTTCAGCGTCCCTTAACACCCATAACTACAGTAATCCTGGGCACAGGTGTAGTGTGTCATACAAGTCCACTGAATATGTGGGTCTATGGGAAAATGAGTTTCCACTGCAAAAATAATAAATAAATAATAGCCCCGCAAAATGCATACGAAATGCTAAAGCAACTGACAGTGAAAGAAAAGCTAATATCTAAAACAACCATGAATATGAGTATCCACCACAATTTAAAATCTCAAGCAAATTTAAATAACTCCAAAAGAAGCAAGAAAAAGCAGAAAGAAAGGGAGGGAAGGAAAGAAGATAAACAAGGATAAAGAAATAATTAGGAACAATAGAAAACAAAATTAAGTTTGTCATTTTAGTAGAGACCAGAATGGCAGAAATACTATAAAACAAAGAACCAGGAAAAAAACTGACTAACTAATGAACACTTACAATTTATCACAGTGAAGACTATTGCAAAGTGATCCACCCCCTTTGCCAGATACAGCAATCTGTGCTCCCAAAAAAATAACAATAATAATAACAAAGAATGAAGCATTATGAATTTATTAAAAATAGTACAAGAAAAACTAAATAACCTATTTACTTTTTTTTTAAGGTAGGGAACTGGTGGTAAATTTAAGGTCACTACAGAAATAAAAATATGAGAAATAAAGTTAATTCTAAACTTCTAAATATTTTTTAAATATATATCTAAGTCCCATTGGCAAACTGATGGTGGTAATGGTTGCACAATTCAAAGAATATACTGGAAGTCACAGAATTGTAAATAATATAATAAAATAAAAATAATTAAATCCTACTGGCAGATACAGGACATTTAAACACTGCTAGCAACCTTCTAAAATGATTTAAAAATTGTCAAAGAATTCCAGCAATATATAAGAGATAAAATTCCCAAAAGTCTTTGATGAAGTAGAACCTCCAGCTCTGAGGTTTTAACACAAGAGATAACTGTCCCCATACCTACCCTCCAACTTGTGTATGCACATTCCTTCTCCTCTACTCAAGGACAAAGCTCTAAGAATTCTCCCATCTCTTTTCAATATTAATTTTGTCCTCTCTATGGAAATCTTCCCAATGGCACATAAATAAGTTATAGCTCCCATCCTCGAAACAACAACAAAGCTCTCTTCCCCCCAACACAAGCCTTTGGCAACCATTCCATTTCTGCATACCCTTTCAGAGACAAACTTGTCACCAAATCCTCTTCTACCATTCTTTCTTCACCCCATTCAAATCACATTTTCACTCCAAAATCACCACCTACTTTTCTTTCCCTCACACCCACATCCAATCCAAAAACCTATCAACTCTAACCTTTAAAATCTGACCAAAATCCAACCGATTCTCATCACTTCTACAACTCTCACTCTGGCCTAAGCCACCGCCCATCTCTTGCTTGGATTCTTGCAAGAATGTCCAAATTCGTCTACTTCTGCCCTTTTCCTACAACATAGCCTCAAAAGGGCAGCCAGAATGATTCTTTTAAAGGTAAATCAGATCAACGCAGCAATTAGCACAGAGAACTTAAGCAACTTGCCTAAGGTTACATAGCTAAATTACAGCAAAGGAGAAGTCACATTCCAGCTCAGTATGTCCTTCAAAGCAGAGAGAACATTAGTGAACAAACTGGTCCAAAGAGCTGACTGTTCTCAAGATTTCTGATTCACAAATCTTAAAGAAGTTATATAGATCACAAAATATTGAGAATATTGAAACAGGATTAAGAATATTGGTATAAGTAAAAGCCGTGACTATTTAAAGAAAAATAAAATGTCACCTGTTGAAATAAAGATACCAGATCAAAACCCTTTGTGCAAGCTGGTATTGCTTCAATGGCTTGAGCAATGGCCTGTGAACCAAAAGGTCACCGGTTCAATTCCCAGTCAAGGCACATGCCTGCATTGCAGGCCAGGTCCCCAGTTGTGGGTGTGTGAGAAGCAACTAATGCACATCGATGTTTCTCTTCTTCTCTTTCTCCCTCCCTTCATCTCTCTCTAAAAATAAATAAAATCCACCCTGGCTGGTGTGGCTCAGTGGATTGAGCACCAGCCTGCAAACCACGGGCTTGCCAGTTCGATTCCCAATTTAGGGCACATGCCTGGGGTGCAAGCCAGGTCCCCAGGGGGGGCACATGAAAGGCAGCCACACATTGATGTTTCTCTCTCTCCCTCCCTTTCCCTCTCTAAAAACAAATAAATAAAACTTGTTTTAATTAATAAAATCTTTAAAAACAACAACCAAAACAAAACAAAACAAAAACCAAAGAGAAAACCTCTGTGCAAATGCTCCAGTGGCTTCTTCTAAACAGAGCCAAAGTCCTGACAGGGATGGAGGACCCTGGAGAGCTTCTTCTGCACTCTCTCCAACTTCACTCTGCTCCAGCCACACTGGCCGAGGTGAGTCAGCTACAGGGCGTTCGTTGCCAGAAACACTCTTCCTGGGGACAGCGGTGCAGCTCCTTTATTTCTTTCAGGCTTTGGCTCAGTGTCACATTACAAACATCTTCCATGACCATAAATATGGAAATAATATGTCCCAGTGACTCTTTTCCCCTTTCCCTCCCCACTGTTCTACACTGCCTTTACCACGGACTAGCACACTATTGTTTCCTTGTTCAGTAGTATAGAAGCTCCATGAATCTGGTGGTTTGTTTTGGTTTTTTTTTGATACCATAATTCCAGCATGTAAACATTACTTGGTACATATCAGGCACTCAATAAATATTTGCTGAATGGGTGAATAATTAAAAAGAAAAAAAAGTATTACCTATTAATTTATATCAATGCTACTCTGAGGGAAAAAAGTAAAAAAACAAATCAAATGCCAAAAGACGTTAAATGGCTAAACACAGTATTTAACTACATAGCACAAATCCATGACAACACATGACACATTCCATATATGACAGAAATATACATAAAATTAAGATACCCCCCAAAAAATTTCTAATTGATTATTTGTTTAAAATAATAATAATAGAATTGGCTTTAGCACAAGAGGTTACTTCATCATGGCAGCCACTAAAAAAATAACTACATGCAAAAATTAGATTTTTTTTATAACAAAAATAGAATTTTCTATTCATTAGATTACTTTCTTTGTCCTAGAAAGATACTCAGGAGTAATAATTTAAAAAATAAGCAAACAGCCCTGGTTGGTGTGGGTCAGTGGGTTGGACATCGACCTGAGAACCAAAGGGCTGCTGCCAGTTCAGTTCCTCGTTGGGGCACATGCCTGGGTGTGGGCCAGGTCCCCAGATAGGGAAGCATGAGAGGCAATTCATCAACATTTGTCTCTTCTTTCTCCCTCCCTTCCCCTCTCTCTAAAAAAATAAATAAAATCTTTAAAAAAATAAAATAAAATAGGCAAACAAAAAGGTTAGTTGTACTAACTCAACCTTTAAAAGGCTTTAATTCAAAATACAGAACAGGTTCCTGTTCTAAACATATGAACACCATATAAACAAAAAGTGTTTCTTACAAAGAAAGCTGCATCTGCGGGAAGTCAGCCGAAGTACATTTATGCATGAAATCTCCAGCCCACTTAGAAAATGAAGGAAGATACTCTTCTACTTCTTGTTTTACTTTATCTTGATTCAAATTTAAGCGGTACCTGTAAAGTAAGAGATTAAATATAAAAGCTGAAATATGAAAACAGTAAATAAGGACAAAAACATCTATATAAGCAACCCAAATACCTATCACCAACTAATAAACAAAATGTGGTCTATACAAGCAATGGATTATTATTCAGCCTTTAAAAAAATGAGTAAAAAGCCCTATCAGTCCTCTGAAAGAGCTGGTTCAGTAAGGAAGACAAAATTAGTGACCCAGCTCTGCCAAGATTGTTTCTCCTGGGCACAAAAGCAACCTCAGGTTGATAGAGAAACTGAAATTCCTAAAGCCAGGGAGCAATTGCTGGCACTGAAGTATCCTAAACAATCATACATTCAATCTAACAGAGGCAAAGGTTATCCTTGCAAAGGATGTTTGAAACCTGGCAACCTTCAGTCGATATCAGAAGATGTAGGTGAAAATGTGGGGAAACAAGAACTCCCTTATAGCCAGCAAAAATATAAACTGGGACAATGCCTATAGATCCTGTCCTGGAGGGGGCAAGATGCAATAAAGGACATTATTGTGCAAAACTAGAATGTGGACAGATCAGACAAAAGTATTCTATCAATATTAAATTTCCTAAAGTCAGTAACTGTACTGTGGTTACCTAAAAGAAATCCCTTATTCTTAGGAAATACACACTTAAGTATACATCATGGTTTTCTACCCCAGGGACATGAGCCCTGAGCCCTGAGCCCTCCTTGCTCAGTGTCAGCAAGAACATGTCATGAGCAAAGTCCTTGGCCAACAGCAAACACAAAGGCCCCACACCCAGCTGTTACCAATGTCTGGCCGAGTCACCACAGTGTTGTGGAGAGAAGAGGCCTGAAAGAAGGGTGAGCAAGGCCAGCTTTGCCCATTGTCATGGGGGCTCCTGATCCCACAGGATAATCCAGGATGTCCAGGGCCCTATTTGGCCTGCTCTGTGGCTGGCGTCTTCAGGGTTTACAGCTCATAGTGTATTCCATCATGAATACTACTTAATCTTAGAAGAAGAGTCTGGCCCTGGCTGGTGTGGCTCTGTGGATTGGGTGCCAGTCTGTGAACTGAAAGGTTGCCAGAAAAAGAAGGTGAAGGGAAGGAGAAAGAGAGGGAGAGAAACATCAATGCAAGAGAAAAACACGAATCAGGTGCCTTTTGCACGCAAGCTGGGCATGTGCCCCAACTGGGAATTGAACCCCTGACCTTTCAGTTTGCAAGATGATGCCCAACCAACTGAGCCACACTGGCCAGGGCAATAAATAAAATCTTTTAAAACACACACACACACACAATAGGTGAGTATAAATGAAGAATGTATGGATGTTCTTTGTACTACTCTTGTAACTTTTCTCTAAATTTAAAATTATTTCCAAATTAAAATATTTTTAAATATTTAAATGCATATATCCTCTAGCCCAACCATTCCACTTCTACATATTGAGCCCACATATATGCCTGCATAGGTATGAAATAAAGGACATACAAAGGTATTTATTATAGCATTGCTACTAAAAGCAAAAATTGAAATGCCGTGGGGATACTTTAAAAAATTATGATCTATCCATACAATGATACATTATGCCACTATTAAAAGTGAGATAGCTCAATAAATATCAAGATGGAATGATCACCAAGATTTAATTTTTAAGTGTACAATAATTTGCATTGTATGCTCCCATCTACATAACAAAATATAAATGTAAATATACACAATACACACTATCACATATAGATGTTTGAAATCCCTGGAAGGACATAGAAAACAACAGTTACTGCCTCTGGGGAAAGGAACTGTGTGACAAAGAAATAAGGGCAGAAAGGACTTTTACTGTTTACCCTCTTCTACTATTACAATAACATATGGATACATGAATTTATACCTTATTTATAAATAGTATTTTCATCTTTTTAAAAAAAAATCCTGCACAATTGAATAATCTATTTCCTAAATACCTTCCTCCAACCATCGTGGGGCTGTTCTTTATTGTCATGAACTCCTTAGGTCGATTTTCCCCAGTGTTTTACTTTTCACAGTTCAGGATTCTTTCTAAAGTTTCCATACCAGTCTATATTGGTCATTTAATGTCTCCTGCATTTAAATTCTCCCCTTTAATTTGTAAAATCACAGAAAAATGACATGTAGCAGCCTTTCTGAGTCTTTCCTGAGATTAGTAAAATACTTAAGGTGGGATCTTCAAGCCTAGACTCTTAGAGATATAATGGCTGTGTACAATATGAACAGATAAAAATATGTTCTGCGAACTGCAATAAGGTAGAAGGGCCTATGAGAGAGGGTAGAAAAGTACTTTGGACCTGTTATTCTTTAATTTGGGAATTTAAAAATTATTCTTTTGAACAGGATTAGCACTACTGTGGATGGACAACATTCATAGGAAAATTAATATTTTCATAATTATGAAATAAAACAAGCTTTCCCTTAATGACTTAGGATATCATGATTTAAAAAAAACAACACAATACTATAATTCAGTAACCCAAGGATCTGCTAAGAATGCATTCCCTCAAATTTCTGACCTTCATAGTTCTTAAATTTTTAAAAAGTTTCCTCTTTCATATATTGTAAGGAAGCTATCAGTTCACATGTTATATGAACATGAAGGTGCCTCTCCCCCACATCTTGGAACCAGGTAAGACTGTTAGATATTAGTGAAAAATAACACGTGCTAAGAGGTTATCAGAGAGATATTCCATTACATAAAGTGCATAAGGGTTTTTAAATACATAAACAACATGAATTCTAAGCAAGCCTGCTCAGAAACCTTGTTTTCTTTCATCCTGGTATTCAAGTTAGGTTCTAGATGGATCAGACTGCCTGATACCTAAACACCTGATGTGTTTTAAAATATGTCCACAAATTCTTTGACACTCCCTTCAAAAGATGGCACCCAAACCCCCTATCCTTAAGGGAGAGCTGGACTTAGTGACTTGCACCTAATAAATTAAAAAAGCAGAAGTGACAGTGTAGGAATTCAAAGACCAGGTTATAAAAGGCACTATGCTTCCTGCTTGCTCTCTTTCTTGGACACTTCAATCCAAGAAGCCACTAGCATGGCATGAGGACACTTCATGCAGCCTGATTAAGAGACCATGTGGGGAGGAACTGAGACCTCCTGCCAACAGCCAACAAGGAACTGAGGCCTCAACAAAAGAGACACACGGAAGCCGATCCTCCTGTGCTCGTCAAGCCTTCAGATGACTACAGTCCCGCATGGGAGACCCTGAGCCAGAACCAGCCAGCTACACCACTTCTGAATTCCTGACCTACAGAAACTATGAGATAACAGATTACATGCTTGTCATTTAAGCCACTAAGTTTTTTTTTTAATGTATTTATTTTTTTTTAGAGGGAGTAGGAGGGAGGGAGAGAAATACTGATGTTGAGATAGAAACATTGATAGGTTGCCTCTCATATGCACCCCAACTGGAGAACCCACGACCTAGTTATGTGCCCCAACTGGGAATCAAATTGGCAACCCTTTGCTTTGTGGAACAACGCCCAACCAACTGAGCCAGACCAGTCACAGCTAAGCCACTAAATTTTGATGTGATTGGCTTCAGGGAAATAATCAATATGATACACAACAGACAAGGTATCACCATTTGCTGATTAGAGTATAAGAAAAAAATTAAAATTTTGTAAAGAAAAAAATTAAAAAGTGGTGATAAGCAGAACTTTTAAAGTAAAAACTATCTATTTATATTCTGAATGCTGTGCATGCCATGTGGTCATAAACAAGTGACTTCTCTGTGCTTCGGTTTCTTCATTTATAACAAGTTGAAACCAGACTATATAAGATACATCTAAAAGCACCTGGTGCCTGATATATGGCAGGAATTTAAAATGTTTTTAGGACACCAGATTATATGTCATTAGCAAATTGGTCATGAAATCCATTTTTTCCATATAAACAGTAAAACATAGAATTACATCTGGCAAAGTAGATAGATGTGAAAATCACATTAAAAACATTTCTAGTAAAAACATTTCTGTGAGAAAAGATGGACTGCAATAGGAGTCAAGGATGAAACAGACAGTAGGACATGCCAAACCCTCTGCAGGTAGTCAGTCACTCATAAAACCCCAGTGATGAAGCATGTGTGGTCTTATATACATTATTTCCATTGTCACAGAATGCAAAACAGGTATTCTCACCTTTTTCAGAATCTTTAAATAACTTCTTAAGTCATCAAACTGGCAAAGCTAGAGTTTCAAATGAGATCTGACTCCCAAACCCAACGATTTTCAGTAGGTCACACTGTTTCTAATGGTAAGGCAAAAAGTTTTTCACACCCTCTGAGGGTATGCTGTGCACATGTACAGAAAATTTAGATATTTTTAGCCAAACAGTTCCTATTGTGCAATTTTAGAAGCTCTTCACAGTACTACAATAAGGTATTGCAACTTTGGAATCTGCATTCTACTATTACAGTAATTTATATTGAATAGTCTAATGGCCAAGTACCTTATAAATTCTGTAAGTTATAAAATAAAATTGTACCTGTAGTTCTCTCATAACTACTTACATTTCCTTCAGATGCCTTATCTCTTGAACAGTTTGAAAAGCAAGTTCTTGTAGCTTTTCTGGGGCAAAGCTATCATTTATTGCTTTCTGAAATACTTCATGGAGAACCGTACCAATCAACATTTGGCGTGTGGCTGGATCAGAGCTCTATCAAAAAGAAATTTTTAGTTTACAACATATTAACAGACATGAATGTATACTTATTACCTAAGCTATTAAACAACTATAGCCAAAGTACACTGTTAAGACAAATGCCAAAACATCAACCTATTTTTTGGGGGGGTTGGTGGAATTATAAGTGACTTTCTTCTATTCAGAATGACCTGAATTACTTTACAAAGGTGACAATTATTTTAAATCTTGTATTTCCATTTTTTAAAAATTAACCAATATGAAAAAGTTCAACACATACTAAAAATTTAATAAATTCATTTCTAATTTTATTTTATAATTTACCCAAGGACAAAAGTCAATAAAAGCATAGCGCACAAACTCATGCAAGTATTATTGAAACATAAAATTTAGGCGATTACCCAAGGCTCTGCTCCATCACTTAAGAAGAGCACCCAAGCAGTTTTAACAGTGTCTTGTCTACCTTAGGCCATGCTATTAAGACAGGGAGTCAAAGCAGCTCCACCTAATATGTAGAAACAAACATAAGGAGGCTGCCAAAAGGAGGAGAAAAAGAAATATGGCCCAAATGAAAGAACAGAGCTAAACTCCAGAAAAAGAACTAAACAAAATGGAGATAAGCATTCTATCAGATGCAGAGTTCAAAACACTGATTAATTAGGATGCTCAAGGGACTCAGTGGGCACTTCAACAGCATAAAAAATGATCCAATCAGAAATGAGAGTTACACTAATTGAAATAAAGAAAAATTTACAGGCAAATGACAGTGCAGTGAATGAAGCTGAGGATCAAATCAATGATTTGGAACATAAGCAAGAAAAAAACAACCAATCAGAACATCAAGAAGAAAACAATAATTAAAAAAAAAAAATGAGGATAGGGTAAGGAGCCTCTGGGACAACTTCAAACATACCAACATTAACATCATAGGGATGCCAGAAGAACAAGTGGGAGAGCAAGAAATTGAAAACATGTTTGAAAAAATAATGAAAGTAAACTTCTATAATCTGGCAAAGGAAGTAGACATACAAGTCCAGGAAGCTCAGAGTCTCAAACAAGATGGACACAAAGAGGACCAGACTGAGACACATCACACTTAAAATAGCAAAGGTTAAAAGATAAAGACAGAATCTTAAAAGCAGCAAGAGAAAAGCAGACAGTTACCTTCAAAGGAGTTCCCATAACTGATTTCTCAAAAGAAATTTTGCAGGCAAGAAGGGACTGGCAAGAAGTATTCCAAATGATGAAAAGCAAGGACTACATTCAAAATTACTCTATCCGGCAAGGCTATCATTTATAATTGAAGGGCAGATAAAGTGCTTCCCAGACAAGATAAAGCTAAGGAGTTCATCACCACCAAGCCATTATTACATGAAATGTTAAAGGGACTTATTTAGGAAAAAGAAGATCAAAACTATGAATGTTAAAATGGCAATATATTCACAACTATCAACAACTGAATCTAAAAAACAAGCTAAGCAAACAAACAGAACAGAAACAGAATCATAGATATGGAGATCACTTGAATGGTTACCAGTTGGAAGGGGAAAAGGGGAGAACGGGGAAAAGGTACAGGGATTAAAAACAATATAGGAAATAGAATAGCCAAAAAACTTAATTGCATGACCCATGGACATGAACTAAGGGAGGGAATGCCAGAGGAAGCAGGGGATGCTGGATGGAGGGGGCAAAAGGGGAAACATTGGAACAACCATAAAAGCATAATCAATAAAATATAAAATAAAAAAATAAAAAACTTACAAAAAAGAAACATAAAACTTAAACTTAAATTTTTTTGGCAAGAAAGTTCTCTTCACTCAAAAAGAAACCATGTTTTTCAATTAACTCTTTCATTAACCTAGGCCTCCACCTTGAAGCTATCAAAACCTAGTTAAAGTTCACCAAACTATCATTAGGAATTTTTAAACCTTCAGAGGAACTCTGTACTATTTTTGAAAATTCTATGTGAGTCTGAAATTCTTTCAAAATAAAAAGTTTTTAATAGATTAATATTTAGATCTGCTGCTTTATGTGATTAAGAGAAGCTGATATTCTCCCACAACTGAAGGGAAAAAGTAGATAAAATAAACTACAAATAAGTAACAACTAACACTATTAGAAAATCTACAAGGGCATTTTTTCTCCTTTTTCTCTTACTCAGCTGTAATTTTGGTTTCCTACATACATACTGTATAATTAAAATACTCTGAGAGAAGGAAACTTTCAACAAATAAAAACCCAGGTTCTTCAACACATAAATGGCATTGAAACAAAAGGATTAAGTAGAAAGCAGACTGATATAGATCAAAAGAAACTTAACAGACCTATCAATAAACATAATACAAAGACCTTGTGTGGATACTGATTCTAACAAACCAACTGAATAAAAGTATATTTTTGATAAACAACATTAGAGATAAACTGAGCATTAAGATATTACTGTTTTATTGTTATGATAAAAATATTGTATTTATATATTTTCAAAAATATCAGCTTTCATTTACTTGCAAAATAATGATAGGGAAAGGAGAATGGGTATGTAGGGGTTTATTATAATCCCCTCTGTATATACTTCAGATTTTCAATAATACCATTTTTAAAGGAGACTGTCTCATTTATTTCTAGTTTATTGGGAAAAACATGAAGCGAAGTTTGGAAATATCTAGACATATTAAATTTAAAAATGTATTACTGAGTTAATTTTCTTATCATTAGATTTTATTAGTGTTGAATAATATTCAAAGGACTCAGGGAACTAGCCTTGAGTCCCAGCACTGCCACTTACTGGCTACATAACTTTGGGCAAGTCACTTAAACTCTAAGCCTGATTTTTCTCATCTGTAAAATTCAGCTGATTTATATCATCTACCTCACAGGATTGTTGGAAGGATTAAGTAAAATAAAAGTGTAAAAGGACTCTATAAATTCTAAAATCCTGCAGAAACTTTAGCTGTTAATATTATTCACCCTGAAAGTTTCACTCAGGACAGCTCTTCTCATGCATCGAATACTACTGGCTATGCTTGTGCCAGAAATCAGCATGTCTGGATACAGAATCAAATATCCAAAATCTTCATCTATTAACCAAGTATCAGATGTGCAGTCTCCCTCCAAATGAATGATGTCCCCTGGCTCTACTGGTACAAAGTACCTAAAAATAAAGCAAAGTACAAAGACACAGTTAGGTTCCTACATTTTTTTAAAGATTTTATTTATTTATTTTGAGAGAGGGACGGTGAAAGACATCTATGCGACAGAAACATTGGCTGGTTGCCTTTAGCATGCTCCCAACCAGGGATATGGCCCACAACCCAGGCATGTGCCCTGACTGGAAATCAAACCAGTGACCTTTTGCTTTGCATGATGATGCCCAACCCACTGAACCGTGCCAGTCAGAGCCTACATGTTTTTTCTTTTCTTTTTTTAAGATTGATTTTAGAGATAGGAAAAAAAAAAGAGGGAGGGAGGGGAAAACAATGATTTGTTGTTCCATTTAGTTATACATTCATCGGTTGATTCTTGTGTGTGCCTGACAGGGGACCAAATCCGCAACCTTGGTGTATCTGGATGATGCTCTAACCAACTCAGCTACCCAGCCAGTGTAGGTTCATACAGTTAAGCTTATCAATGAGGCTTAAAAAAATGAACGTTTTGCCCAGATGGTGTGGCTCAGTTGGATGGAGCTTAATCCTATAGACCAAATGGTTGCTGGTTCGATTCCCAGTCAGGGCACTTGCCAGGGTTGCAGGTTCAGTCCCCAATTAGGGCATGCGTAGGAGGCAACCAATCTATGTTTCTCTTAGATCGATGTTTCTCTCGCTCTCTCTCATCCTTTCTCTTCCTCTGAAATCAATAAATATATTTCTTTTTAAAAATAAAAAAAATATTGTGTCTGAGGAAATAATTCTAAATTCTGGATATTTTTTATTTTTAAAGAATTTATTTATTTGTTTTTTTAGGGAGAGGAAAAAGGAGGGAGGAAAAGAGGGAGAGAAACATCAATGTGTGGTTGCCTCTCGCACACCCCCTACCAGGGGACCTGGCCCACAACCCAGGCATATAGCCTGACTGGGAATCGAACCAGTAACCCTTAGTTCGCAGGCCAGCACTCAGTCTACTGAGCCACACCAGCCAGGGCTGGATATTTTTTAAAAATCACATATCAGGACAGTCTTCTGAATCAACTCCTAGTCACTCTATCTTTTTCCACCTTTGAAACACACCTAAGAATACTAATGGCTTTCCCTTAAATCCCAAAAAGGAAAACTGCTTTAGCATTATTACCAAATTTTTAATGGTGTACTATAAAGCTCCAATTATGGATGATACTGTTTTAATAATTAATTCTCACATTTTTAAGACTTGCAGTGTATCTACATCTTATATAAGTCTTGAGACACAGAACTAAACCTAATGTAGCATGAATAAAATCATATTTATCTAGTTCAAACCACCCACTTGCACCCTAGACACAAAGTCTACACAAAATTACACCTGACCTTTTCTGCATCTTCCCTTCGCCCCTCGCTTACCACGCTTTGCTTGAGAGAAATCTAAGGTTACAGAATGTTCTTATGCTGTAGTTGATTTTGCTCTTCGTGAGAATGAGTTTTAAGCTATAATCTTAAAACAAAAAATACAGGTAACAGGAAATAGTCATTTAATAAGCCCCTTTGTAATAAAAATCAAGTTTTGGAATAAGGGACTTGACATGCTGGGGTAACAGGCACAAGATTAATATGGAATTAATTCAGGTTGAAAACTACTCTCTTTATTAACAATTAAATTATAGTGACATCCACACAAGCCCATGTGAGGGTTTTAAGATGGTACCCTTAAGAATCTGCCAGATCAGTGCTCAAAGTCACACAAAAATTACCAGTCATTCCTAAGGATGCACAATTCTTTATGTTCCAGAGACTGGGAAGCAGTAATGAGTAAATGCTTTTCATCGTTTCCTTCTTCATTCTGTACAATATTGACTGCTAATACCAGGTACCGGTTATCCATTCCTCGGCTCAGAACTGTTTTAGAAAAGGAAGCTTCCACCTTCTTCTGAAATCTAAGCATACATACACAAAACTACTGTAGCACAAGCATGAAATGAGAAGCTGTCAGACTCCCTTATCTACAAACCATCCTTTTTTAGGTTTTTCTCTTCTGGAAAGCCTACTACAATGACTGTTAGCTAAAATAGGTAAAAATTAAGAGAGCAAGGACATAGCAGAATTCCTATTATAAGAACTTCCCAGAAGCGTTTAAAACACGCTTATGATATGGGGTTTTTCCAAATATGAGCTCCATGATTCTGATTAAAGAGAAAGTGCAAAACATTAAAACCACACACTCCTATCACTGGTGTAAACCTGTTTTCAAAGCACAAATAAAAGGGAATGTTTTGGACACTATACTTTTTTTAAAATAACGATTTGTCATAGAAAAACACAGCATGGTGGTTTGCTGGAAGTCCTGCTGAGGCCCACAGAATTATATTAATCTTTAAATTAGGAGAATACTTAGAAATCATCTCATCCAATCTACTCTTTAATGCAGGAAATGCTTCTATGACATCTCATTGGCAATCAACCAGCCCCCGCTTTGCACAGAAAGCAAACTCAATACATTAACTCATTCCTTCATAGAGTAACTCAGAAATTTCTTCTATAATGGGCAAGTCAATGTCACAATATATTTCTTTTAGTTTTAGTTAAAACAATACTTTTAGTTTTTTCCTTTTTATTGAATTTATTGGGGTGTCACAATACTTTTATCCACTGCTCCCAAGCAAAATAATCTCTCCCCTAGGAAACATTAAATTCCTATTAAGTCTTTCCTGTTTGATTGCAGTAAGACTCCAAGAGAGTCCAAAGTCACTCTCTCTCCAATCATAACACCAAATGCCTTTTACATTATTCTAAAATTATCTGTCACCGACTCTAGGTTCTGTCATTTTGGAACCTTCATATTCACCTACCCCACGAATTTCCAAAGGTCAGCTGGGACGCCTTAAGTTTCTCCCAAAACGTAATGCTAACCAAAACCCAAAAAGCAAGGAATTGGTCAACAATAATCTGCATCAGTGTTACTGCTACTGAAAATAACTCCACACCATGTTTGTGGGGCATGTTTCTCCGACCATTTAAACCGAGCTAAGGATGCAGAGTTCTCTCTGGGGTAACTTCTCAGACTAAACATCGAGAAAAGCACCTCGCAGTTGCAACTTCCTTTTATGAAGACATTTAAGGTGGCTTGGGACTCTCCAAATTCGGGAAAAACTTGAAATTAGGGGAAATAATGAACTGATGACGAAGGGAGAATCTCCAGGCTCTAGTTCGAGTGTGACCCCAAAGAGGACCCTGAGAAGCAGACAGACATCAGCTTTAGAGGCGCGTCCGGCGCCCCAGGACCTGAGTCGGGTCACTGTCCCAGCTCGGGTCCGTAGAGGCGTGGATGCAGCCTTTCCCGCTCCTTTCTTTCAAATCTCCCGCTTCGCTCCCAGATCCTCCCCCTGCTCCGCTCACTGCTCCGCGGGCGGCTCAGCCTGCTCTCCGAGACTCTTCTCCATCAGAAGCTCGAGGTCACCCAACTGCTCCATCCCGGGCGCGGAGTCCGCAAACTGACACCAGGTAAAATCAAGAGAATCAGCAGCAACCCTAAAAAGAGAAAGAAGCACCGGTCCGTGAGGCGCCGCACGCATGCGCCGACTCGCCGAGTTCTCAAGTGACCTGCGCGAACCTCTCCTTTTGCACCGCCCCATTCCTCGAGGAGCGCCACGAGCCGGGGCGACCTACGCGCGGAAGGCAGCCTTCCGTTCTTGCCTTGGGGTTTGAAAAGCAGGGAGTCGTCATAACCTGGCTCTTACTAAATGCTCCCGCCTTCTGTCTAGACGTGCCAATCGATTCCCAGCACACGCTCTTTGAGCAGAACAATTTCTAGTTGCCAAAACCCAGGAGTCCCTAGCCGGTAGAATTTATTGCAATCTTCCACCGTTTTTCCCCTCTAGAAAACAACCTCTCTTCCACCTTTTTTTTTTTTTTTCCATGGAAAACTTACTAGAAACTGTCAGAAGAAGCTTTCTCACCATGTTAGGGGTAAATCTACAAAATTACCTGTCTTATAACCTCTTTCCACTTTTTTTCAACAGTGGACAAATCAGTCCTCCTATCAGTGGACAACGCTCTGTATTTAAAGGCCTCTCGTATTATCAAGGGCCTTGGTCTTCAGTTTTTCCCTCATTCCTTTGTATCATTAATCTGTTCCGCACTGTTAGATTGCTGCCTGGCATGTTATGTGGCCCCGTATCTCCCATCTTTTTTTCTTTTCTTTTTTCGCTTGATTTGTTGTTCCATTTATTAATGCATTCATCTGTTGCTTCTTGTATGTGCCTTGACTGACCAGGGATCCAACTGCGACCTGGGGTATGGGTGGGATGCTCTAACCAACTGAGGTACCTGGCCAGGGCCGCTCCCATCTTTAAAAGTTGTTACCTTGATGGAACTTACTCCATCCCTCTCTTGGCCACTCTCAAATCAAAACTTTCAAAATAATTTTTTTCAAGGCTATCTCCAATTTCAGTTCCTATTCGCTTTCCTTTTGTTTTTAATTTTTTTAATTAAAAAGCAATTTATTTTACATACACTTTAAAATTAATATACTGAGTATTTTTTTAAGGTTTTATTTATTTGCTTTTAGAGGGAGGGGAAGGAAGGGGGAAAGAGAAGTAGAGAAACGGCAATGTGTGGTTGCGTTTCGTGGACCCCCAACTGGGGACCTGACCTGCAACCCATGAATGTGCCCTAGACTCGGATTCGAACAAGAGACCCCCTGCTTCGCAGGCCGGCACTCAGTTCACTGAGTCACACCAGCCAGGGCAAGGGTATTTAAAATATACAAAAAGATGTAAAAAAATAAAATGATCACCTCAGAAGCCTGCCACTACATTTCACCCCTAAAGCTTGGTGTGCATGTTATTAGCTAGAATTCAATATTTGTTTATGGTTAAATTTTTTTAATGTATTTGATGTGTAAATTTTAAAATATTTAAAATAAAATGCACAAATCTTATGTGTACCATCTGATGAATTTTGACAAATGTGTTTAACTCAAACCCCTACTGAGATAAAGAATGTTACCCTTACCCCAGAAAATTCTTTCATGTCCCTTCCCAGTTAATTTCCACATCCATCCTCATTGGAAAGACAACCACCAATCTGCTTTTTTTTTTCACCAGAGATTAGATTTGTCTATTCTAAACTTTCATATAAATGGAATCATTTGGTACATAGTATTTTGTGTCTGGCTTCTTTCACTCAATATAATGTTTATGAGATTCATCCATTTTATTAAATGAATCAGTTTATTCCTTTATATTGCTGAATGGTAATCTACTTGGCCAGTTTCCTGTGGGTGAACACCTGGACTATTTAGAGTAGTTTGCTATCTTAAATAAAGCTGCTACAAATATTCTTGTACGAGACTTTTTATGACGTTTTTTCTCTTGGGTAAATATCTTGGAATGAGACTTCTGAACCATAGGTAGGTTTACATTCAGGTTATTAGAAACTTCCAGACCTTTATCCAAGTGGTTGTAACACTTTACATTACCACCAACAGTGTATGAGCATTCCAGTTTCTGCATATCCTTGACAGCATTTGATGCTCTCAGTCTTTTTTGTCTTAGTTTGCATTTATTTCCCCATTGCCAATGCTATTGAATACTTTATCACATGGTCAGTCATTTCAACATCTTCTTTTGTAAAATGTCTGTTCAAATCTTTTGCTCATTTTTTAAAAATTGCATTATTGTTTTGTATAATTCTGGATATAAGACTTTTGTCAGATAAGTTTTGCAAGTATTTTCTCCCAGTCTGTGGCTTGCCTATTCATCTCCTTAACAAGATCTTTACATATACAAAGGTTTTAATCTTTATGAAATCTAATTCATTCATTTTTTTCTTCTTTTTGTTTTTTGTGATTTAAGAAATCTTTTCCAACCTCTAAGTAATGAAGATATGCTTGTACATTCTCTTCTTGAAGCTTTATTGTTTTATTTTAATTTAGGTCTATGATCCATGTCAAGTGTATATCCAGTTTTTCTAGTAGCACACGTTGAAAAGTCTTCTCTTCCTCATTGGATTGTTTTGGCGCCTTTGTTAAAAAATCTAATGACCCTATAAGTATTAGACTGTTTCTAGGCTCTCTATTCTTTTCCTTTGATGTTTGCTGATCCTTATGCCAATACCATACCGTCACTAGAGCTTTATTGTTAGTCAGAGTTGAGTAGGGAGTCTTTGTTCTTTTTAAAGTTTGCTTTGGAAATTCTAGGTCCTTTGCATTTCTATATACATTTTAGAATTAGGTTGTAAATTCCTCCAAAAGAGCCTGCTGATTGCAGAGCTTGAGATTGCATTGGCTCTATAAACTGGGGATAATTGATTGCTTTACAATATAGAGACTTCTGATTCATGAATATGGTTTATGTCCCTATTTATATAGGTCTTCCTTAATACCTTTAAGCAACATTTTGTAATAATCAGCGTACGGACTTTACACATTTTTGTTAAATTTAAGTGTTTATATTTTCTGATGCTATTATTCATTAAATTGTTTTAAAATTATTTTCCAATTGCTTCCTGCTAGCACAAAAAGCTATAGTTTTTATATTCACCTTATATCCTGAGACCTTGCTAAATTTACTTATAATTTCTAGTAGTTATTTAGTAAATTCATTAAGACCTTCTATGTAAAGAATCATTTCATCTGTGAATAGAGGCAGTTTTACATCTTCTTTTCTGATCTTTATGTTTTTTATTTTATTTTTATTTTTATTTTATTTTATTCTTACCTAAATTCACTGGTTAAAGATAAGTTGCAACACTGGCATCCTTGCCTTCTCTCTGATCTTAGTGGAAAACATTCAGTATTTCACCATTAAATATGATGCTATTTCTAGGTTTTTCATAGATTCCTGTTATAGTTATCTAATGCTACATATAAAACGAAAACAAGCCGTGGCTGGTGTGGCTCAGTGGACTGAGCACCAGCCTGTGAACTGAAGGGTCACCGGGTGGATTCCCAATCAGGGCATACGCCTAGGTTGCAGGGACCTGTGAGAGACAACTGATCAATGTATTTCTCACACATCAGTGTTTCTGTCTCTCTCTTTCTCCCTCCCTTCTATCTCTAAAAATAAATAAATAAAATCTTTTTAAAAAAACCTCTAAAATTTAGTGGCTTAAAACAACGATTCTTTTTCAGTTTATGAATTTTCAATTTGGGCTGGGCTCCATGGGAAAGCTTGTCTCTGTTTCACGAAGCATCAGCTAGGAGCTGGAGGATCCACTCTGAAGACGGCTTACTCAAGTAGCTGGCAAGTTGATGCTGGCTGTCAGTTCCTCTACAGTGGCTGGTTGGCTTCCTCACAGCGTGGTGGCAGATTCCCAAAGACCAAATGGAAGCCGGTTCAATGTTATGAGATAACTTTGGAAGTCACATAGCATCACTTCCACTCTGGTCACAGGCCCACTCAGCCAGAATCAAGGGAAGGGAACCCAGTCTCTACCTCTTGATAGGAGATGTGACATGACATATGAAAAGAGCATGTGAGATGGGATGTATAATTGGAAATTATTATCTGACAAAATGCCCTTTATCCAGTTAGAAGAGGAAGTTCTCTTCCAATGTGACTAGTTTTCATAATGAATCAATGTTGACTTCTGCCAAGTGCTTTTTCTGCATATATTGAAGGATTATGGTTTTTCTCCTTTGTTCTGTTATTATGGGAAATTACACTATTGACTTTAGATTGTTAAACAAGTTGGCATTCCTAGGATAAACGCAGCTTAGTAATGATGCAATAAACTTTTTATATATTGCTACATTTGATTAGCTAATATGTTATTAAAGATTCTTTCCATCTTTGTTCTTAGCAGATTGTAGTCTAAAATTTTCATTTTTTGTAATAACTTTGTCAAGCTTAAATATTAAGGTTATGCTGGCATTATAAAATAAGTTGAGAAGTGCTCTCTGCCTTTTAATTCCAAATAGTTTGTATGAGGTTATTTCTTTCTGAGATATTCAATAGAATTCGCCTTCTTAGCCTAGAGCTTTCTATGTGGAAGGATTTTTAATAAATTTTTCTGTAATTGACTATGCAGATTTTCTCTTTCATCTATATTGTCTTTGGTTGTGCTTTTCAAGACCTCTGTCATGTAAGCTGTCATATTCCTTGACAAAGTTATTTACAAATCCCTTATTATCTTTTTAATACTCATAGGATCCATGATGATGTCCTCTTTTTCATTCTTGATAATGGTCATTTACATTCTTTCCTTTTTAGTCCTCAGTATAGCTACGGGCTAATCAATTTTGTTGCTCTTTTCAAATAATTCATTTTGGGGATTGTTATTTTCTCTATTGTCTGTTTTTCATTGATTTCTTTTTTAACTGCAAACCATTGTTGACCAAGTGGGGTGATCATTGTAAAAAAATTATCAGACAATTTTACCCCTCTCTGAAAACTTTCAAGGGCTTCCCAAGCATTTAACATGAAAGATAAAATCATCACCATGTTCTGTAGAGCCCCACATGATTTGGTTTTTGTGTACTTCC